TCTTTGTTCTTTCAGTATGAGTAAAAAAAAAAACTATTCCCAGCATTGTAAAAAAAAATTGTCGAGACGAAATTTAGTCAATCAATTTGTTAAGATAAGATAATCAGACCCAAAATTATTATTATTATTAATTATCAAGAAAATAAGTTAGCTTATATATAATTACAATATAATACTATTAAAGATGCTTTTAATAATAGCATATTATCATTATGAGTTATAAAAATGTTGAATGAGTCAATGTATACAACTTTATGCATATATTCTCAAGTAAAGCACAAATTGTGTTAAATAAAGTCACACAAAATATCCTATAAAAAATAGATTTTAGTACGGACAAATTATTCAATATTAATAATAATAATTGCAATAATGATATATATTTGGTTTCTAGTTTACATAGTTTTTTATAAAAATATATTACTTCCATCCGGCTTCAAGGCTCTCATTTATTTTTTGCGTGTTGATATTTGAATATTAATTATTATATCAAAATATAGTACAAATTAAAAAAAATTACAAAAATACTAATAGAAGAACATTTGTACAAAAAAAAAATATTTCAAATATAAGGACATTTTTAATGTTAAATACAATGACGCAAAAGTTAAATGCGACCTTTAGAAGCGGACCGATGGAATATTATTTTTTCTGACAAAATATTATATCAAAATACTATTTAAATTAAAATTAAAATCAACAATTCAAAATTTCAAATGAAAACCAAACAAACTCTCGTGGCTAAATTACTATTCAATTAAATGTTTTTTTAAAAAAATAAAATACAAAATTTCAATTAAACAAACTCTATATTTGATGCATAAATGAGTGTAACTATTGAAAAAACGAAGACCCCGGGGAGCAATTAAGTCACCTACCTTTAGCTTCGAGAAGTTAAAAATCTCCATATCCTAATCCAAATAGCTTTTATAGTAAATTAAAAAATAACAAGATTTGTTTGTTCAATGTTTTGATTTGAAATTATTTTATGTGAGATATAAAAATAGTATCAGTAATATAAAATATAAAGTAAACTAATTTTTAGTCTCGTATTGACACTATATATCATTTCTGGACTTTAATTGGACTTTGCTTGAAAATAGTCTCATTTATCATTTTAGGACTTTTAGAACGGAGTAAAATATGGAATATTTTGTGAAAAAAAAAATGTTTATTCAATATTTAAAAATATTGTTAATAAATACCAAAAAAAAATATTCAATTTTCAATAAAAATGCACAAATTTTGTTCATAAAATCACATCAGAATACTATCTATTAAACTATTACCATTTTTAATAAAAATGCATAATTAGTTTTCCTTATAAAAATTACGTCAAAATAATATTTAAATTAAAATTTAAATTCAAAATCAAAAAATAAGTGCAAAGACATTTTTAGTATTAATATAAGTATATTTAAATAATTGGCTCTATTCACTTTATATTTTCGTTTCATTTTTTTGCTATATAATTTTTATGATTCTCTATTAAAAAAAAATGATTATATCTCACAAAATATCAATCAAACTACTATTTATTTAAATTAAAACATACAATGTTTGTTTAATTTGAATAATTTTTTTTTATATATAAGGCACAATGAATTGTGTTCGTAATATAAAAAATAAAATTTTATATTAAATATTGATTTTTGTAAGATGATAAAATATACATTGAAAATCGTATTAAATTTTTTTTTGGACAAACAAAATAAAAATGAAAATAAAAACACACACTTTATGGGTCCTCATTTAGCAAAAAAAATTCTAGATAGATTTGAAATGCAAAGTTGCAAAAGAAATTTGTAAAAATAATGTGTATTTTTGTTTGGGAGCGATTAAGGTGTTATTAGTTCTAATCAATATATAAAAATATAGACAAGACAATATATTAAATATAAACTGACAATACAAGATATAATATAAAATAATATAAATGCAACGTATAAGTTGATGATAATAATCCATACAACATATGTTATGATTTATATTAATTTAGTTTTAATATTACCAATCTATTGTTCATATGTTGATTAAATTCCTTAACTATTCCCAAAAAATTTCAATGAGTTTTAGAGATTAATAAACCTATTAATAAACCCCGACGCCTCATGTCACCTGCCACACATGGTTTGTCTAGTGTGATTTTTTCGTCAGGCCTAATTTGTAGGGTATTAGGTTCGGCCGAATATTTATCCAGTGTGCATTTTCGGGTAGCGGCTGCGGATTCCCACGTCATTTAAAAAAAAAAAGAAAGAGTGAACAACAAGTTGTTTTATGGCATTTACACTATTTTACATTGATGTGAAATGTAAATAATTTGTTTACTTTTATATCAAATAGATTCAAATACACAATAACAATAATACACAATAAATTAAACACTAGTTTAGTGTTAGAAAAGTATATTTATTTTGTCAACTTTTATGTACTCGACATCAACTTGGTGTAAAATAAATTAATTTTTTAAAAGAATAATTACTTTTTTAATTCATCCGGTAAAATCATATAGATTGATTAGATATAAAAATTAAAAAATAATACTAATATTTTAATATTAAAGTGAAAGAAGTAAAAAATAAAAGAGGAATATTATAAAATAAAAATTATTAATTGATTGATAAAAAATAGTAGAGTAAGTAAAAAATAATAGCAAATGAGTTATTATTTGTTAATATTATGAATGAATAAAAATATTTACTATAGCTGGATTGTACATAAATTTAGCCGATGACAAAAAAAAATAATGACATAATTTTGACGGACGAAAAAAATATCATTTATGTCCATATATTCCTCTCCACATTCAATTTTGCACTTAAAAATTCTTAAAACTAATGTTCTTTCAAGCCAAAAATAAGAGACAACATATACACAATAAAAGTCAAATAATTCAAACAAAAAACATAATTCCTATAATATTGTCATAATTCTTCATGGCTAACAACAAAATACTTAAAAACTATAACTATTAGACAAACAAATCTTAGAAGAACACAACCATAGGCTTGATTGATTGTGTTTTCAAACCTTTTTTTTGTTTCGCAATTAATTTACAATAATACTACTTCATTCGTCATCTAATTGTATATTCATTTGACCGGATATAGATTTTAAGAAAAATAGATTAAAAAAAATTTACTTTTTAAAGTAAAGAAAAAGTAAAAAAAACAAAAGTTGTATTTCTTTTTACTTAAAAAGAAAATAGAAATAAATTTATATGCAACCAAAGAAAAAAAATGAAAATAAATTTACATAACGAAAAAAAAAAATTTTTTTTTTTTTTTTTAAAAAAAATATTTTATTATTTATTTTTCTAAATACATATTATAACACTAAACAATTAGCATTTCAATTCAAAATTTTAGTATTCCTAAAATATAACAAAATACAACCAAAGAAATTCATAATATTCTTACATAATGTAAAGTTTGTTTCGTTGTACTTGTTCAATAAAGATTCATATTTATATCTCTTTCTTACCCTTATATTTAATCATTAAAGTGTATATTAAAATGAATGTTTTCATTTTGAAATAACAAAAAATACTTATAATTGAGTTGGCGTGGTAGGATGATTAATGACCGCAAGATCGAATATTGCTACAATCTTCAAAGAAAGAGAACTCATTTAGAGATACATTTACTAAAAAAATAAAACGGATATTGTTGACTTGGACAGACAAAATTGACAAAATGAATAATTTTGATTTAGACTAAGGAAGTAGTTCTGTGAACAATTAAAAATAAATATTTTCATTTTTTTACTATTTCCATTGTCTACTATTTTAATCATACATTCATATAAAACAAAATAAATCAAAGTTAACAATTAGATTAATTAATCACTTATATTTTGTATTACTTCAATAATAGACGATGAAGAACTTAACGAGTGAAGTAAAGTTAAGTCTTTTGCATTAAGAAAAGTTCATAGACCGATATCATATTGAATTATCCAGTATCAAAAAATTTACTATATACAAATTTTAATATCCCATCGTACTGTCTGTTATTCCCTAATTTTCAGGTCCAATAAAGAGTGGCGGTCCAACCCGAAGGATCAACCCATCCGGCCCAGGATTGTTTATGAACGAAAACAAATCTAATTTGGATAAAGAAAATATTGGAGGAAGTTAAAAAATAATAGATACAGTGAACAGTTATACAAAACTATAATATACTAATAGTATGATGTTTTATAATAAAGATTTTGATACAATATGAACGATATATTATATATTTTTTTAAAACTTTTCACCTTTAATAATATTTTTCTAATTAAATTTATTATATATTTTTTTATATATAACAATAATAATAAAATAAGCAGTTATACTATTTTTAGGAGAAATGGTGTAAAGGAAAGTAAATAAAAAAATGGTATATATATGTAATTTTAAGTAGATTTTTTTTTATAAAAAAGATCAAGTATATATAGTATAGTGTATAGCATCTAGTTCAATAAATTTAATTTATGGTTCAACATATATCTCAAATAGTTCAATAGATTCGATAAATCATGAACCCATAATTACCAACTTTTTTCTCTTATTCAATAATAATAAATAATAATAATAATAATAATAATAATCGGATTAGATTTTAGAACAAAACCAACCTCAATTAAATATTTTTAAAAATAATAATAATATTTTCAAGAGTTGTGTTTAGTTGGATTTGAATTTTTTTTTAAATAATATATTTTATGAAAAAATATATATAAATAGTAAATTTTAAAAAAAATAAATAAAACTTATGTAAAAAAAAAAAGACATCCAAATTTATTTTGTTTCTCAAAATAAAATAATGTTTACTTATATTTTTGTTTCTATTTTTATATTATGAAAAAATTACAATTAATTTAAAAATATTATATTCCATATATATATTTTTCCAAACTGTTTTTCATCTAAATTTTGTAAAGGAAAAGACAGGTAATAAGATATGAGAAAAAGTTGCCTAAAATGGTGTTTTGTGGTTTATTCGTTGGTCAAAGCAAGCAAGAACCCTCCCAGCAGTAAGCTCCTCTTCCATGGAAATTTCTACCTATGCCCTACATAATAATATATATATAATCCGCCCTATAAATGCGCCAAATCTTCCAATCTCCATAAACCCAATTCAACCCCTTTCAAATTAATCCCGTCCGGCATTCCTTGCTGACCTGCTCTTTCTTTATTCAATTTAATTATGCCGCGATTGTTTTCTTCCTTCCTTTCCTCGTTAATTTGATTTGCGGATGTCTTTTGCGGGCGATTTGTTGCAGAGCATTTTGTTTTTCGCTTGAATGTTTTCTGTTGATGCGATTTTGTATTCGCGGAATTCGTCGATTGAGTTTGCTTTTGAATGAAATGGTTTGAGGGTTTATTCAGATTGACGGCTTTTGGATAAGAAATTGCAAATTCTGCGATGAAATTAGGGTTGCGATAGATCGGTTGCTGCTGAATTTGGTGGAAATATTGTCGATGTTAGCTGCAAATCTTCCTATTTTGAGACTTTGGTTCCGTCTGGATTGAACATCTCTGGTTGAAGGTATTTCCATTTTTCGAATTTCTTCGAATAGGATTATGTTGATTGAGTTTTTCCTTTTTTCTTTTTCTTTTTTTTTTAAAATATATATACATATATATATTATGTAATTGGATTTATACAGATTGATGATGGCTGGATAACAATCTGCAAAAGAAAAAGGATAATGATAATATGGCGTGACTCTGAAATTAGGGTTCAAAAGGGGCTAATTGCTGCTTGGATTTGGGGGAAATTTTCCTCATAAAGCTGTGAATTTCATTCAGCTTTGAGAATTAGGGCTACAGTTTGTTGGAAACAAGAAGATCATTCGTTATTTGTTGATTAAAGCAATGGTATCCCATTCATGGCGAAAATTGGTAGCCCCTTGTTGGCGGCCGAATTCACCCGAATTCGAAAGGGAAAGTTGCAGCTCAGAAGAAGGGAACGTTGGTGATGAAGTGGATGGTTTGTTGTGGTGCAGAGATTTAGGTCACCATGTTCATGGTGAATTTTCGATGGCAGTAATTCAGGCGAACGCTGAATTAGAGGATTACAGCCAGCTTGAGTCGGGACCGATGAGTTTTTCTGAGTCGGGTCCGCAAGGGACATTCGTTGGAATCTATGATGGGCATGCTGGTCCGGAGGCTGCCCGCTTTATCAATTCGCACCTTTTCGAAAATATTAAAAGTATGGCTATCCTATTGTATCGTATCCCTGTTTTGATATATTGTGCTACCTTTTTTTATTCAATTGGTTTTCATTATTTTCTCACTTTAGGAAATTATGGATTTATCTTTGACCTTTGTACATATTTGCTTTTGTTTGTGTTCGATTTCTTTTTTAGTTGACAGTAATGGAAGCTGAGTTTATTAGTTTTCCATGAAATATGAAATGTTTTCAACAAATCATCTTAGGAATCATCATAGTTTTTAATCAGTAATGGAAGTCGACTTTTTTGTTGGCGTTTTGAGCTTCTTTGATCTTTATACTTTATTGCTTTTGTTTATGTTCGATTTCCTTTTGAGTTGACAGTAATGGAAGTCGAGTTTATTAGTTTTCCATGAAATATGAAATGTCTTTAAAAGAATCATTAAGAAACCATCATATTGATTAATCAGTGCAAATTACATGGCGCACAAATTTTTCGTTGGCGTTTTAAGCTTCTTTTCGAAATTTGTACAAATTAGGGCTTGTAAAAATCAATTTGCCGATGCATCTCTAGCCGAAACTAATTAATTAGAGGTTGTATAAAATCTAGATACGTATATATATATATGTATGCTATCGGGTAACTATGTCTACTTAAGATAAATAAGTTAGTAATGTGGAGAAACACTTGATGCTATTGAATACATAGTCCAAATGATGCTAGTCGATGATTAATTACATGTTTTTCTTTATGAAAAGCTTTAATTTAGGGAGTGCAATATGTTTACTCACTTGAAAGCTATTCGTGATGCAGAGTTTACATCAGCTGATCAAGAAATGTCGGCCAATGTTATAAAAAGAGCGTATTTGGCAACTGAAGAGGAGCTTCTTTCACAGGTTCGAAGGCAATGGGAAATTATCCCACGAATGGCATCTGTAGGGTCATGTTGTTTGGTGGGCATCGTCTGCTGCGGCGTTTTGTACGTGGCAAATGCAGGAGATTCCCGAGCAGTGTTGGGCAAACAAGAAAGGGCTGGAAAACAGATCCTAGCTGTTCAACTATCGGACGAACACAATGCAAATTTGAAATCTGTTCGGGAGGAGCTGCAATCTTTGCATCCGGACGATCCGCAAATTGTTGTTTTAAAGCACCAGGTTTGGCGCGTCAAAGGCATTATTCAGGTGATTCCTTGTCCTAATATCTTCTCGTTATCCGAATAATTACGGTAAGTTTGAGTGTTTTAGGGTGTTTTGAATTTGAAATTTTCTTTTTTTTTTTTAAATTTTTGTTAATGAAAAATTACTTCCTCCGGCTTGAGTCAAAAATATCTATTTTGTCATTTTCGTAGGTCCAAATACCCGTTGCTTTATTGTTTATATTCTTTTAATTCCACTAATGCCGAAGGTAAAATAAATTTTACATTACTCTATTACAGTACATATCTCTATAAAATACTAAATTTAAATCTATGTGCAAAAGGTCAAATGAGTACCTTTGATTCGGATGGAGGGAGTATGTTTTAATGTGGTATTGTGAATGAATTATGAATTACAGATTGTGTAGAGTGAAAATGACCTCGAGAATGCCATTAACACCCTTAATTTCGTAAATTTGCTTGAAATTATTAATGCTGTAGGATCCGTCGAGTTGTCAACATCCTTTTCTAGGAGTGTACCCGAAAATCATCTTTTGTCGCCAATCTTAGAATCTTTTCTATCTTAAAGGTTTTCGACTAGGTATATTCAAAAGATGAGTATTTTTTATGTTGCTAATACATTTTCAGTGCCATTATAGGTTTCAAGGTCAATCGGAGACGCGTACTTGAAGAGACCGGAGTTTAATAAACCACCATTGTTGCCAAAATTCCTACTCCCTGAACCTTTTGAAAAACCAATCCTTTCAGCCGAGCCTTCTATAGTTGTACAACAGCTTCAACCCGAGGATTCATTTGTTGTATTTGCTTCGGATGGGCTGTGGGAGCACCTCAGCAACCAGGAGGTGGTTGAGCTTGTCCACAGCTCTTCTTCCCGCAATGTACGTATGCAAAAATTAAATAAAAATGTATTCATTACTGTGCAAACTACGAATTAGCCTTATATTGAATTCATATTCAGAAAAAGAACCTACCGAGGAAGAAAAACCACCCAAAACACTTTTTTCGCTCAAGGTTTTTTGCTCAAGGGGCAATTTGAAATTCTTATAAAGTCGTAGAGAGGTGTTTATGCTTAGGGTGTGTTCACTTAGTGTTTTTAGGTTAAGTTGTTTTTATGTTAGGTGTAAGGAAAAGCATATCAGTGATATAAAAATAACATTTTTTTACTTTCGGGAAGCGAATAGGTATTATATATATTGGTGTGCATGTATTAATTCCTTTCCGGATAATTATGTCAGTTTTTCTTTTTCTATTGTTCGCTAAACTCAGTGCATAGTTTATTTATATGAAAAAAATTTATACATTCACCATGTTTTTATCTCTACTTTAACAAACAATAACTATTTTTGCACTATATTTTTCTACTTATACCTTACTTTTTTTATCAACTTCTTGATAATTTTTTTATAATACCTCTATTTTATCTATTTACTTTTATATTGAAATACCATTAGTTTTTGGTCTTCGTGTCCAAACAAAGTTGCATAGTTATCATGAATGGAGGGAGTATATAATACTATAATATTAATCGGGAATCATGTAGATGTATTTGTTCCCTTATATTTTGACAAAACTTCTCCCATTCTACAGGGCATTGCAAGAAAGCTCGTGAAAGCAGCGCTGAAGGAAGCGGCAAAGAAACGGGAGGTGAGATATTCAGACCTAGTGAAGATCGACCGAGGTGTCAGAAGACATTTCCATGATGACATATCGGTGATTGTGCTTTTTCTCGACTCCCATTTAATTAGTCATAGTTCGTCCAGCTCTGTTTCGGTTAAAGCCGGGGAAAGCTCCCGGGCTGACTGGTGATTTAATACCAGAGATTCTCGTCGAATCGTGTTGTATCGAATTTATGTGTTTCTTTATTTCTTTTGTTTGTGGGATTGATCATCAAGAGAAAGTGTAGAGGTGAGTTTTATGAGGAAAATCCCAAATGTGGTTGATGATTATGCTGGGGAGAGTGTTTTTGTATGAAGTTTGTGGTTAAAGTAACTAACTAACTAACTGGCATATGAAACAGGGGAATTTACACTCTTCTTTTCTTTTGACTATGGCTAAGATTGAATTATGACTATTTTTGCATTAGTATGATCTTGTGATGAATTTATTTTTACAAATTGTATTATTGAAAGATGTGTAAAGGATCTGTTTAATCACTGTGTAATGAGTCATGGAATTGCAGTATAGATTTATTATATACTATCTTCGTCCGAATGTTTAGGTTTGTTTTTGGTATAATAAAAAAAATAATAATTGGATAATTAGAAAAAAAATAATGACATTTTGATTATTACCGTTCACTTCAAGTGAAATATATACCTATAAATATATAATTTTGAAATTCATACTTATGAATTGAACAGAAAGTATAAATGTAATTAGTAAATAATTAAGAAGTGTATTAGTAAAAATAATTATTGTATAATAAAAATAATTGTGAATTAAGATGAAGATAACTAAATAGTTTAATTAAAATTAAAAAAATTATAAAATTTAAAACGAGATTAAGTGTATAATTATATTTCCAAAAAGAATGAACAAATTATGTGGAATGGACGAAAATAGAAAATAAGGACCATGTGAAAGTAGCGAGATATAAATATGTGGACGGGTGAGTATAAATTAGTTGAATTACATAACAAAATAATTGTGTTATAATATATATATATATATATATATATATAGGGAAGATTATGGTGCTAATTTGGCACCGTCCAAATCTAACACCCATAAAATAAAGAAACAACACAAGTTTTTATTAGAAACTAACATGTGTTTGTAACAATGACATATGGTATTTGTTACTATATAAATCTAATTTAAACCTTAAACTATATCTAAAATATGGCAACAACAACACTCATTCACGCCCATCGAAAATAAAATCCAATAAATGCTTCCTTTCACTGCGTATCATTATCTTACCACCACACAAATATCAATATCGAGCTAAATCCCTTCGTATGAACAGTATTTTCTCCCCTTCGTGAAGGAATTTCCATATATCAACATATTGATTGCATAAACAAAACCTACAAAAATGCATGAGCAATAGTACAACTCGTTTCATGTTCTCCCCAATCATCGCATCCAATCGAGAATTCAGCAAGCCTAGAGTGCAATATTCATCTCCAAAAATCAAAATTCGAAAAAATAAACACTTACAAACGAATCAAAACCCAATTCCCTCACACTGAACTCCAACTCCACAGTCCCAACTCAAAACTGCGAATAAACAAAAATTACACCTCGGAACAGCGCAAAAGCTAAAAAATTCAAAATGATCATAAATTGAAGAACATATAATTTACCTGCGCGCAAAGAACGTAGAGTATAACTTATCGCGAAGCAGCAATGGAAGCGTGTAGCTACACAGAAATGATGGCGGAAGTTTTTCAAATGAGGAACTAAAACTGTAAAGTAATTAGAAGACGGAAGATTTGACAGTGTTAATAAAATATTAAAATCCAAACATAATTCTTAATTTAGTTAGTTAATTGTGTGGACAAAATTATTTTTTTTCAATATTTATTTAATAACTCTAAAAAATGGTTCAAAATCTGCGTTTGCCGGGAGTCGAACCCGGGTCTATTGCTTGGAAGGCAATTATCCTAACCGTTGGACTACAAACGCCTTGTTAGATAATTTTGACAATTTATATATTAGTCCCTTTGTCCCAGATACTATATCCACATTGCCATTTCTTTCCGTCTCACGTACCATGTCACTCTCCTTTTTTGGAAAATGATTACATAGTTTAATCTCATTTTAAATTTTTTAATTAAAATAATTAGTTATCTTAATTTTAATTTATAATTATTTATATTATAGGATAATTATTTCACTAATACATTTTTAATTATCTACTAATTACACCCCTCCTAAAATAGTGTCTACGGTGTAGCAGACACTGTATTTGGGACGGAGGGAGTATTATTCTAAAATTGTGATCCCAAAATCTTAATTAAATATTTATTTGTGGGATTTTGATTTTTAATAATTATTTTACTATTTAAAATTAAAATTCAAAATCAAAATTTTACAAGTAAAAAATATTTTTTTTAATAAAAAAATAATTAATATTCGGTTCCACTATTTCAATATAAATATATATATTTTTTTATAAAATACTATTTATATCAAAATTTTATTTAAATTAAAATTTAATAAAATAAAATAAAATAACCAAAATTCGAATCAAAACCAAGCAAACCATTAGTTTTTATTTTAAATTGTTATTTGATATAATATAAATAGTTATTAATATATATATTTTTAAATATAAAATTAATTTTAAATTTAATTTTAAAAAAAAAACAATATTTAATAATTATTGACATAGAAAATTTATGAATATAAAAATGTTTTACAATTCCGTAACAAACACAACCTAGAAAAGAATAAGAAAAAATCTTTGAGAAGTGAGAAGCGGATTCATTGAACCTAGATAATACTTATAGGATGTAAGGATTGGGTTATAATTTTAGGATTATTTTGATGGGTTATTTAATCAATAGATAAATTAGTATAATGTTTATTTTTTTTATTAAATATTAAATAAAATTATATTAGGTTTATATTATTTAATTATATGATATGATTATATATATTTTTTTACCATAATATCCATTATAATTTTATTTAAATTACAAAATTATTTATACTATATTTTTTCCTTTTAACATATAATAATATATTAAAATTTATTTGTGATATTTTTGTAGCATATATAATTTAATTTAATTATATAATATGATTATTTTTTTTTACCAAAATATCCATTATAATTTTATTTAAATTATATAATTATTTTATACTATATTTTTTTCCTTTTAACATAAAATAATATATTGAAATTTCTTTGTGATATTGTTGTAACATATATAATTTAATATAGTAGTAATATTTTAAATTATTTATTAAATATCTTAAGTTTATCTCAAAATTATAAATTTGTATTATATTTTGTTATTATTGCTTAAGAAAAAAAGTAATTTAAATATTTTATTAAGTAGTATTAAATAATATTAGAAAAAAAAAGATTAAATTAATTATCTTCCAAATCCATATAATTATAAAAATAAATATAAGATTAAATTGGATAAAATAGTTTTATCGATCGTAACGAGTAAAGGCACCTATATAAGATTATATTATTATTTTTATTATTTAAATAAAATCAATTATTTATTTATACATCCAAATTCCGGGCCGGGCCCATCACAAAACCACAAACCCAATACAGAACAATATAAATAGAGGCGCCACTCTTTTAACTTTTGAAGAACGTATATTTCTACCGTATACGTACATATACATACAAATACGTCTGTATGTATATCTATATATATATGTATGTATTTCGGATAGTTTAAGGTGGAGATAACGCCGGAGAAGCTATGGGAAAGTCCACCGGAGACAGCTCCGCAAGGCATCGGCACAGCGCTGCTCATCGCAGCCGTTCATTTATGGGAGTGTTGGATTGGACGATCAAGATTTTGTCTTTCATGTTGCTTCTTTCTATTGTTTTCTTCCTCTTCACGGTAATTATTTATTTATTTTTTACTTATTTAGATTATATATATATATATATTCGATTGAATTGAGTTTGGATGTTCCAATTTCACTATTAAATAATATTTGGTTTGTATTTTAGAGAAGAAAAATATATAAATATATACTCTTGGGGTTTGAATTTTGAGTTGGGATTTGAATAGTAAAAATTATTAATTTGAATAGTTGCATGATGTGATATAAACAGACGGTTGATGTGATGTTTTGAATGTAAAATTGATTTTTAGTATAATATAAAAAATAAAAAATAGATGTTTGATTTGATGTTTTTTTGGAGAAAAAATTGGATGAACAGTGAAATTAAAATCCAATCCCCCAAACAAACACACCCAATAAAGTATTTTATTTTTGAAAAATTTAAAATTTAAACTCAATGAAAAAAAAAATTCAAAGAAATAGATTTTTTTTTTTTTTTTTTTTGTTAGCATTTGAATATAAATTTTAATTTAAACGGCATTTTGTATTTAAATTTCAAATTATTATTTGATTTTTGTTTGAAATTAATTTTTTATTTTAAATTTAAATTTAAATATATATTTTTACCTTTTTAAAGTATTATCAAGTCAATATTTACTGTGATATTACTCAGTCACTTTTTTGTATTGTATTAATATTTCATTTGAATTCAAAATTTTTACTTATTCAAATATAATTAAAAAATATCCAAAATATAAGTGTTTATGGCAACTTAATCCAATACAATGATTTTTAGTAAAATAGTAATAAAAATATATATATAAACATAAATTAACATAATATTTCAAATTATTAATTATAGGTTTCTATTTATTACAGATATATTACATTATTATTATTATTATATGTTATATAATAGAATATGATTTGCTTATATTATTGTTAAAATATTATCTATATCTATGAAATACATGACATATTTATTTTTATTGTTTCGGTTTAAAATTTTAATAATATATTCTTTTTAATTGTATAATTTGGAAGAAAAATATATAAATATTCATAAAATAAAATATAATATTTTATATTTAATTTTTAATTTTTTTAATAAATGAATTTGCAGGCAAATTATGCAAGTCGTCGTTCCTATGAAATTCGGCGGGAAATCTCCATCTCAGCGAATGGAACGACGTCGTATGGAGGACCTATAAATAAGTTCGAGCTTCCTCTGGATTGTTCCCAATGGAGTCCTACCAGCAAATGCCCGACGCCAAGAGATCCTCCCAAAATCCACGAGCCTTCGCCGAATGCCTCCACCAATTCAGTCTGTCCGGAGTACTTCCGATGGATTCACTACGACCTGCGCTACTGGAGGAACACCGGAATCACGGAGAAGATGGTGGAAGCTGCGCGGCTTACGGCGCATTTCCGCCTAACGGTCTTGGACGGGAGAATGTACGTGGAGACGTTCCGAGAGTCGATTCAGACGCGAGCTTTGTTCACGGCGTGGGGAATCGTGCAGCTGATGAGGAGATATCCTGGAAAATTGCCGGATTTGGAACTTATGTTCGACTGCGATGACCGGCCGGTCTTGCCGGAGATTGAGTATGGGAAGGATGGGTCGGAGCAGCCGCCGCTGTTCCGGTACGGCTCGGATTGGGAGAGCTTGGATATCGTGTTCCCTGATTGGTCGTTTTGGGGATGGTAATTCTCTTTTCCTTTATATTTCGTTTAACTGTTTCTCTGTTTCATTCTGAGTTGTTTGAGCATTGGTTGTTTAATTCAGTGATTTATGGGAAGAAATTTAGGGTTAGATGTGCACATAACTGACTTTTTAAATTGTGGTTCAGATCATTTAGTTTAGGTTGCATAGAAGTTTCAATGCGTGATGATAATAGGTAATAAGCTTTAAGTTCTTAAATTTAGGGGAGAATCCTAATCAAGTTGTTTTCTTAGGTTGTTCAACTTATATTGTTTAGGTCAATTCAAGTTGATTGATCAGGGATGGTTATGGGGTTGATTTTCTCGGCTAGCATGTATGACTATATATAATTTTTTAATATGAAATCAATTATAGCATGTGTTCTATGTGATTATGTCAATGTATTGTTTCTTTGTTGTATTTATATTATGTTGACGTAAATTATGTGTTGTATGTCCTATAATGTGTGTCACTGTGTTGTGTGCCGTTGTATTGTGTAATTCAGCACCGTGTTTGATTGATCTCCACAACTGGAGTGGAGCTGAGCTTAATTTAGCTTGACTGTAAAAGGCAGAAGTCTTCAATGGAATTTGATTAGACTTGAGCTTATTTATGTTTGGGTTAATCAAGTTATCAAACCCCAGTCAATACATTGTAATGATATATACAATATATGGTTGTTGTTGAATGTTGTGTATCTCATTAGTATGTTTTGTCATTTATACATTATTAAATTATATATTATGTTGTGTTAACATATGATATGTGTCGTGTGTTTTTAGATCAATGCTGCAATGTATCATATTAACATTAAATGTGTAGTTTGTATGTGTTATGCTAACATGATATGTGTTGAGATCAATTGTGACATGGATTGCGCAGACTATTGTCACACATTTGTATTATTAGCATAAATTGTGCATGCATGTATGCTTATTTGTTATGTGTTGTCCATGTATATGCATTGTGCTATCAGTAGCCCGCCACCATATTGAATATTATGTCACAATAGCCCAAACATTTGACATGCACATTTATTGTTTGAAACTTTTTTTAGTTCCGGAGGTTTACCTATTGCACGCCCACTATTTATTGTTTGAACTTGTTGTAATTTTGTTACTAAATTAGCTGAACTTCATCTTCTCAGTGTTGTAAGTACATATACTTCATGCCTTTAAAAAAGTAGTTTCATCATGTTTCTTTCATTTACTGTGTCTGTGTAGGGCAGAGATAAATATAAAGCCATGGAAAAGCTTGCTGGAAGACATAAAAGAAGGGAATAAAAGAACAAAATGGGAGGACAGGGTACCCTATGCCTATTGGAAAGGCAATCCCGAGGTTGCTCCGTGGAGAGGTGACCTTATGAAATGCAATGCAACCAATCAAAACGACTGGAATGCACGCCTCTATGTTCAAGTAAAACTCATTATCAACTGCTTAACCTTCTACGCTAAATATCTCTAGATCTTTGAATTTGTAAGAATATTTTTTGTTTATTTCTCAGAATTGGTTAGCAGAATCTGAAAGTGGATACAAACAATCGAATCTTCAAGACCAGTGCACTCATCGGTAAGCTATTAGTTGTAATTTAATCTATGTGTCCTATTGATGCAAGAATTCGATATAAAGGTATGCACATTACAGGTATAAAATTTATATAGAAGGATACGGATGGTCTGTGAGTGAAAAGTATATTTTGGCCTGCGACTCTCCAACCTTACTAATGACCTCACGGTGGTATGATTTCTTCGTAAGAAGCATGGTTCCTCAGCAGCATTATTGGCCTGTCCGAGATGAAGATAAATGCCGGTCCCTGAAATTCGCTGTTGAATGGGGAAACAATCACCCGGAAAAGGTAATTCTTTTAGAGGAGAAAACTAAACAATGACCGAGATATAATATGTTCATTCTACATTTGGATTGGTTATAGTGTTGAATTGTTGTTGATTAGACTGAGTCAGTAGTTTGTAATGGTATACACAATGCATGTTTGTTGTCGAAACAATATATACTGTGTATATCATTAGCATGTGTTTCAATTATATATCTTATATTGTACTCTCTCCGTTTCAAACATAGTGCAACATTGAGAATTTAGATGGATAGTATTAAATAGGAAAAAATGTATATTTATTTGAGTGGTGTGATAGAATAAAGTGTGGGGTATGAATTAAATATATTTAATTATTTTCTATTATAGAAATGTTACAAGATGTTTGGTACAGACTAAAAAGAAAATGTTGCAGTATGTTTGAGACGGACAAAATACTTTAATAACATGTAATATGTGCTTAGATCAATGATGATATGTAATATGAACTACTGTCATGAATTGTCGGTTCATATATTGTATTGTGTTATATTAAAATAAATTATGTAATGTATATCTGCTAATATGTGATATATGCTTAGATCAATAATGGCGCATGAACTATTACTATATATTGTTAGTTCATATATTTTATTGTATTATATTAATATAAATTAACTGCTCAATGTTGTACTAACATGTTATATGTGCTGAGCTTAATAGTGTCATGAATTGTCTTAATTATTGTCATATATGTTGTATTTACATTATATTTTAACATAAACTATCTTATATGCCGATTTGTTATGTGTTGTCCATGTATACTTAATGCGATATACCTTCTATGTGAAAAAATATTGCTAGTGTTCACTAATATGAAAACAGACTGACAGCTAATTTTTAAGGTAATCTACGTGGCAAAATTTTTTTTTTTTTTTTGAGATTAAGATCATAGTGAATGATTTTTTTATTTTTATTTTTATTGATCTAGAATCACGATATTCAGCTTATGCTTATTATCTTCTGGAATCCATGGTTGTTAGGCGAAGAACATTGGCAAAGCCGGGAGTCGGTTCATCCAAGAGGATTTAAAGATGGAATACGTCTACGACTACATGTTCCATCTTCTAACCGAATATGCAAAGCTCTTGAAGTACAAGCCTAGCATTCGACCCAATGCCACCGAGCTTTGCGCAGAAGCAATGGTGTGCACGGCAGATGGAAATGCACGAAAGTTCATGGAAGAATCGTTGGAGAAGACTCCAAGCGATTCGATTCCATGTGCATTGCCTCCACCATTCAGTCGTAAAGAACTCATTATTCATCGAGCTAAAATGTTGAAGGCCGAGAATGAAGTCAAGAGATGGGAAATGAAATATTGGGACAAACAAAATATCGAAAAACCGGAACAGCCCGATTAGCCGATAGAGGTATGTTGTTTCTTCTCATATCATAGTGAACCTTCATTAGTTTTTTCTTCTTGCTTTCTATGAGTTGCTAAATACAAAAAATTATACATCTTTGAAAACATGGAAGAATTGATGGATATAAAGATAAATAGAAATATTGTTTGGATATAATGTAAGACTATTTTTACCTATCACTTGTAAGAGTTACAATATACATATTTTTTTTTTGGACCTGTAATTGTATTTTTCTAATTTTTTTATTTTCAACTGTATGATCTATTTTTTGGGTGTAAGAAAATATTATCTATATTTTATTCTATATAATTTTTAAAATTTATAAATAAACCCCCTAAACCCTTAACTATCTTAACATATTTATTTTATATTAATATTTTAAATATTATATTGATAATCTATACTATTTTTGTTCGGCTTTAAAAATTTCATCTACTTTTTATGTTGATTTTTAAATATTAATTATTATATAAAAACGTAATACGAATTAAAGGAAAATTGCAAAAATACTATTATTAGTGTCTTGTAATACTACTACAGTGATATTTGTGCAAAAAATTATATAAATATTATGATATTTTTAATATTATTTACCAAAAGTAAATGAGACCTTTAGAATCGGACAAAGTGATTATTTTTTATTTTGTATTATTTGACCATAAATAATAATAATTTTAAATCATATAAATTAAAATTTTAATATTATTAAACAATGGCTTCGTTCACTAAGTGATTTTTTTGTGTTATAGAGAATTGTGTCAAAAATATAAAATATACTTTCTCTGTTCACTTACAATATTTACATATTTTTACTTTGAAACGTCCAATTACAAAGTTAATATTTTATTAAATATTCTAATTTTTTCTGCAAATACCTTTATTTTACATCACATCGTTACTTTTACACAAAAAAAAATTGACAAAAATATTATTACAATACTTTGTGGAAAGTTAAGACATATTTCGTATATAAAAGAGCAAACTAGGATGGAGGCATAAGTCTAGCACCATCATATTCCATTTTTCATTTCTTATGTTTCTTTGCTTTTACTATTTTTATTTTTTATTTTCTTGTTTTGCAATTTAAATTCATTTTCCTTGCATAATTATTTTCCTTCATTTTTCTTCTTTATATTTTCTGTGTTGAACTTGTATTTATTCAATTCAATACAATTTCCTTGCAAGAGTAATTTTCCTATGTTTCTTCTTTAGTCCACTAACATAATTTTTTCGTCGATTTATTTTTATTATATGATCAAACTCAGATGCTTTCTTGAGTAGACCACAAAACTCGATTTACTTCGGGTCAAAATTTATTGGACCGTCATCGACAATTTTCAGCGATAACAACTATTGAAATAAAAATTCAAATCAATATTTTATTTCAAATCAATTCCAAACAACAACCAAACAAATCTTTTGTTTGTATAATTTGATAATATATTTTGATTTGTGACTTTGGCATCCTTAAATGGATGCTATTATTATTATTATTATTATTATTATATCTATTTTCCAAATTTTATTTTAAATTTTGCAGCTTAAACTTGGAGTTCATATTTTGAAAACCTAAACAAGCACACCCATTGATTCAGCATAAGATGATGGAAAAAGAGCTACAAATGGTTTGTTTACTTTAGTATATTTTATATTATATTTTTAGTAAATTAATTATTAAATATTTTTTTCGTCTCGACTCAATTTATTTATTTTATCAGTTTTTTTTTTAATTTCTCACTTAAAAATATAGAATACATATATAAATGTCAAAACATATTTATTTCTTTTATACTTGAATTAACAATATTATTTTACACACTTTCACTAAATAATAAAAAAAATTTATTTACCATTTTTAGTTGAATTAACAATATTATTTTACACACTTTCACTAAATAATAAAAAAATTTATTTACCATTTTTAGTTGTCATACATAGTTTCATTCATCAATAAAATATTAGTTATATTATTTGCATTTATTTATATTGATATTATTACATTAATTCATATATTAAAATAAAGTAATTTTGTTCTTTCAACAAATTTTTTAATATTTTTCTCTTAAAAAATTAATATATTACATACACTATTTATTTTAATATCATCGGAACATTTTTATACGTTACATAAAAAATACCAAAACACAAAATAAACACATAATTTTTACATTAAAAAAATTACCATTAGCTATCATTGAAAGGTTTCTTTTATTTTTATTTCCATTTAAAGTTTTTTATTTAAATTTAAATTTAAATAATATTTTTATATAATATTATATAAAAAAATAATATATTTTTATTTATGTAAAAATAATACTATTATTTTTTATTTAAAATATAAAACAAACAAACACACTCAAAAGATATCTTCATTAAATAATTTATTTAGTATTGAGTGAGATTGAATGTCACGCTCGTATCAATTAATTTTTTAGATCACTTAGCTTACGCGATTTTATATAATATTTAAAATCAAATGAGTTATTTAATCAAATTCAATACTAAATTACATTATTTAGGTCATTTTACTGTAAAATATTTTGTGTTTGTTTGTGATCTTTTATACTACCTTTTTATTATTAATAATAAAAAAAAAAACATTTCTTAAAATATCAAATAAATTATTTATTCTATTATATAGTAATATAAAGAATTAAGCAATTTTTTAAATATTAAATTTTATATTCAAGACCCAAATAGCGATGGAAATAGGTCAGATCGGGGCTTACGACCTGCTCTACATAAGGCTTAGCCTGACTTAATCTATTTACTAAAAAAATCATGTCAATTTTTTTTTAAAAAACCTTTTTATTTAAATACAACAAGCTTAAGCTTAAAAAAAAAAAAAAAAAAAAATCTTTTTAATTAACATGCCAGTCTATTTAATATTATTATTTTTTTATAAAAATATTTTTTATAATTATATATTAAAAATAACTTTCTATCTAATAATAATATTTATTAAATAATTTTAATTATAAATTTTATTATAAAAAATAGATTTTTTTAATTTTTGTATATATTAAATAATTGTTTATACTTTATTATTTTTTATTTCTATTTAAATTTGCAGATAAATAAATAAATAAAAATATTATGTAATTTTTTAAATAGACTCGTAGGTCATACCAAACTTTTAAAAAAGTCAGGCTTAAGTTTTTTTTAAAAAAAAAAATTTAGGCCTACTTAGCCAAATTCTGGCCTGGCTGGCCTATTTCCATCCCTAAACCCAAATTCCAAACAAACATCTAGTTTCTTTTAATTCAAATTTTACATTCGTTTCTAGGATTTTATCAAAATTTTACTATTCATCCAAAAAAAAATTCCCCAAAAATATCAAATCAAACACCTATTTTTTATTTTTATATTATACTAAAATATTGATACTATTCAATTTTTCTGAAAATATTACAATAACCATATATATATATTTCATAAAATATAACATAAAATAATAAGAGTGTGTTTGTTTTGTATTTTAGTTTAATTTTTATTTTTTTTAAATGAATAATAATATATAAAAATAACAAGTGTGTACCGTATATAATTTTTTTTTTTTTATAAAATATATTCAAATATTTTTAAAAAGAAACAAACCTTAATTATTTTTCTATTTTAAATTTTTCCTTAATAATGGGGTGTATTTGTTTTGTGTTTTAAGTTTAAAATTATTTAAAGTTGTGTTTGTTTGGATGTTTGAATTTTGGATTGAGATTTGAATATAAAAATTTTGAATGTGAATAATTGTACGATATGATATAAACAATGTTGATGTGATGTTTTGAATGTAAAATTGAATTTTAGTATAATACAAAAATAAAAATATATATTTATATTTTTTAGAGAAAAAAATTGAATAAATAATAAAGTTTGAGGAAAATCCACCAAACAAACACACTATAAATATAAATATATTGTAGTATTTTTTATGTTATTAATTAAAAGCATTTCATCCGATAATTATTGAATAAATAAATTTAAAATTTTTAAAAAGCAATAAAATTAATTATTTATATTTTTTAGAGAAAAAAATTGAATAAATAATAAAGTTTGAGGAAAATCCACCAAACAAACACACTATAAATATAAATATATTGTAGTATTTTTTATGTTATTAATTAAAAGCATTTCATCCGATAATTATTGAATAAATAAATTTAAAATTTTTAAAAAGCAATAAAATTAATTATATAAAATTCAAAATAAAAATATAATTTTAAATACTATTTTAATTAATTTTAATAATTTTAATTCAAATAATATTTTGCTATAATATTTTATAAGAAAAAATATATTAATATATTTTGAACAATAATCGTACTTGAACGTTAGATTTTGATTTTATATTAAAATAAAATAAAATAAAAAAATAAAGAAAGAAAAGTAAAGCGTGTGCGATTAAACTTCACCCGATTTTGTTAAATAAATAAATAAATTTTTCTATTTTTGAAACTTTCTTCGTAAATTGGAATGTAACATTAAATTAGGCTTAATAAGTTGATTATTCATTATTGTAGTTTGCAAATAATAACAATAATAATAATAATAATAATAATAATAATAATAATAATAATAACAATAATTAATCAATTGCTTCTCAAAATCTTCACGCACATCGCAAGCTTCGTGGCCGATCGTGGCCGAGAATCTCGAAAATTGGAGACGGATTTCGGGGAGGATAATCCACTCCACTCCACGCTTGATTTCGTCGCAGAAATTCCGATTCCGGAGGAGGCTTGCCCAATCACTGTCCTTGAAAATCGAAGACTCAACTAGATTGTACTGAAACACGCAGATATTGTTGGAATTCTGTTTTTTTTTGCAGCACATTTCGGACACAGCACTCGGAAATGGTGGAAAAGGCGCCGACGTCGGCGGAGGCGGCGGCGGTTGGGCTGAATCCGGCGGGCGGAAATTCCTTCGAGCACAAGAGGTACGAATTTTACTTGGTGCTACTTTGCGTTATTTTTAATTTTAAAAAAATAAAAATAAAATTCGACCATTTGATCTTTGTTATTGTTTTCTTGTGTTGGATTAGTGTAGCTGCTGGTTCTTCGTTGATTTCTTTTTGGTTCGTTGATTTTGGGAAGAATTGCGAAACTGTTGAAATTCAGTTATGTGGTTTAAAGGAATAATTTAGAAAATTGAAAATAAACTGCGTTTTGGGAAAGAAATAAATTGAGTTTGTGGAAACCATTGACGTTTGAGGAATTAGAAGGCAAATGATGATTTTACGAAAGATGACAAAAAGATAAAAAGTGACCATTATTGCTGTTGAAGAAATGAGACTTGTGGTTGACTCTCGCTCTCACTGGTTTCAATGACTAATCATGTTTACTGTTGAATTTGAGTTTGAGGATAAAGTAAACGTATAACAATTATTTAATTGAGTTAGAGAGAGAGAGAGAGAGAAATATATGTTTGAAACCATAACTGACATTCTTGATCCAATAAAAAATGTGCAGAGACTACTTTCTTGAATATGTATATGTGAATAGGGTTTGATTCAGTTTGTGTTTAAGAGAAATTGAATTGATTGATCAAATATATGTGTGTATATAATATATATATATATGTATATATATTTATGGCATATTTCAGTCTTGAGGATAAATGGTTCTACTGTCTGTATCCTAAAATTGCTCATTTTACCTTTCAACAATAAAAAAAGAAGCGGAAAGGAAAGGGTGTTTATTTGTAAAATTTTGATTTTGAATAGTAAAATTTGAAATTGAAATAATTGTTTGATGCTATACAAATATATGTATTACTGTGATATTTTGAATGGAAAATAATTTTTTTTTTTAGTATAATAAATAAAAAATAGGTGTTTGATTTGATTTTTTTTAAGAAAAAAAAAGTTAGATAGTAAAATGCTTAAAATCTTACAATTAAACAACTTAATTTGAGGTGTTTTTGTGTTTACTTAGTTTTTTTTTTTTTGTATGTAGATATAGTGTATATATATATATATAGTGTGAATGTGTGCATATATTGTATTTTTTAATAATATTAATCTGAGTTTTTTGGCGTATGAAAATTAGTTGTTAGATATAATGTTGTTTTGCTGGGAAATTTTGATAAATAGTGCAAAAAAAAAAGTTGAAAACATAAGTAGTTGTCGATAATTGACATTTCCACTTGCATGAACAGGGATGTGTATGGGTTTGCAGTGAGGCCTCATCACCTACAAAGATACCGAGAATATGCAAACATATACAAGGTTTGCTAATCGAATCCATCGACTTAATCTTCAAGTTCAATTAGTTAAAAAATATTGACATTGTACACTCATTTTGCCTGATGTGCTCTTAGGAAGAAGAGGACGAAAGGTTAGGTAGGTGGAGAGACTTTTTGCAAAGGCACTGGAAACCTGCTCGATCGAATATCAATGGATTATACAATGACAGTGTATCAGGAGCCGAGTCGATCAATCCAACGGCTGATGATAGTTCCAAAGACACTGGCAAAAAGCCCGGTCATCTGAGCAAAGAAAATAAAAGGGTAGCAGCACCTGTAAGCGACGATTTTGATCCAGACCACATATGGAAAGATATAAGGCCATCTCTTCATTCGGTGGAGGATTTGATGAGTTCTCGTGTTCGAAAAAATCCTTATGTGATTAAATATGAGTCGGAGTTGGTAGCCAGAAAGCAAATTCTTCCAGCTGAAGAGGATGAACTCGACCGAGGAGCATCTAAAGATGACTCTGATGAAGAGTTCTTTGATTTGGATCGACCAGACTCGGAATCTGATCAAGATTTGATTCATTCTTCGGACACGGAGATGGCTAGTGAGTCCACTGATCTGCAATCTCTACCCATTTTTGAAGAACTCGACTGTCTTGTCCAAATCGGGGTTCCTATGGCATTAAGGGGAGAGGTAAATAACATCAAAAGTTAATATCATTTGCCTCGATAGATTTTAGTTACACTTTTCATTCGATTTTACAGCTCTGGCAAGCCTTTGTTGGTGTTAAAGCACGCCGGGTTGAAAATTACTATCAAAGTTTGCTTAAGAAAGACACTGAGATTGAAAGTAAAAATATCGAATTGAAAGAAAAGAATCGGGAGTCGAAGTTAGAGTCCGGACGTGTTCTTGAAAGCTGGAAAACACAGATTGAGAAGGTTATTCAGTCTTCTTTATCTATCAAATTATTCGAATATCGTTATGTGTCCACATGCGTTGTCGTAGAAATTAAAATTAAATCTTGAAGCAGGATTTAGCTCGTACTTTTCCCGGGCACCCTGCATTGGATGAGAGTGGCAGAAATGCTTTGAGACGCATACTTACAGCTTATGCTCGGCATAATCCTTCTGTTGGCTACTGCCAGGTATTTCTATGCAAAAGAGAACTTTTGCAGCAAGAAATTTCTATTTGCTGAATATTCCGTCTGATCTTCCTTCGATGAAAATCTTTTACTTCTGATCCATGCAGGGCGTAAATTTCTTTGCAGGCTTGTTGTTGCTTCTGATGCCGGAGGAGAATGCATTTTGGTAGGTTGGAATCTTTGTTCTCACATCATATTGTCAATCTACAACCTCAAAATGATCGATATAAAGATTCTGGTTTCTGCTTTCTTAGTAATTTCTCGATTTTCAGGACGTTAACAGGTCTTCTAGATGATTATTTTGATGGCTATTATTCAGAAGAAATGATTGAAGCTCAGGTATTGTTTTAATAGATTTTGTTCGATGGATTTTGGTTATGTTTTTGTAAGAACTGAATCTGGTCGATTATGTTTCTCGTAGGTCGACCAACTTGTTCTTGACGAATTAGTGCGCGAAAGCTTTCCGAAATTGGGTTTGTTCTCTTTGTTTACTTTTTCGAAGGCATCCTTACAAGGAGACCTCAGTGGTTTCGACGTTTCTGATCCTTAATATCCGTGTGCCACAGTAAACCATCTCGATTTCCTGGGAGTGCAGGTGGCATGGGTGACTGCACAGTGGTTCCTCACCATATTTATGAATGTTCTTCCATGGGAAAGTGGTTCGTTTCTTCATCTTAGTCCTGCAATTGATTCAAAGAAATAAGTTGCTCGACACCTTCACTAATTTCATGTCTGTTAGGAATATAGAATCTGATTTCAGTTTACAGTATTAATAATCGTAAATTCTGACTTCCTTCAGTTCTTAGAGTCTGGGATGTGCTCCTCTTCAAAGGAAATCGTGTAATGCTCTTCCGGACCACACTTGCTTTAATGGATTTATATGGTACTGCTGGGCTGTATTCGTAATTTATTTACATTTGCGTCGTAGATGGCTAAGTTTAGTAGCAGGGAAATTCAATCGATTCTTTTACTGGTTAAAACTTACCTTGATTTAGCTTTATTGTAGGACCTGCATTGGCTACGACAAGGGATGCCGGGGATGCAGTCAAATTGCTACAATCTCTAGTCGATTCCACCTTCGATAGCAGCCAACTCGTCCTCACAGCTTGCATGGGGTTTCAGACTATTCAGGAAACAAAATTGCAAGAACTAAGAAATAAACACCGACCTGCTGTCACGATTGCATTGGAAGAAAATTTGAAGGCAGATCGGAGTTGGAAGGACTCGCAGAGCCTAACTTCGAAGTTGTTTGTCTTTCAAAAGGATTCAGGTCCGAAGGTGATTGGACCTGATAATTCGCAGACTGGTCGAGATGTCTCTCATTTGGATTCATCGAGTAATGAGGATGTTCTTTATATAAGCTTAAATGGCAATGTGGAGATCGATTCTGATAAAGATATTTCCGAGCAGGTAAGTATTATGTGTTTTTGTCTCTTTTTTCCGTGTTCTTAATAGTTTCGTTTTCTCCTTTAATTTAAAATTCCCATAGATTTACTATTTAAAATTCCCATAGATTTACTAATTATTGCGAATGATTTCGAATGTGGCGACGTTGAGTTGTTTTGGATTTGTGCGGTTGGATAAGATTGCTCGTCGATTGTTCTTTGTTTGTGTTAATTTTGTATGACATTAACTTTGTAGTCGATTCGCTATTCCAGTTGGCATGGCTTAAGGCTGAATTTTGCAAGCAGCTTAAGGAAAAAGCATCTGCTGAACAAAGGTGAGTTTATCTTCCTCCCGAAAACTAGCTCTTGGAATGTCTGAATTTTTCTAAAAATTTGCGACTGCTCCAATAAACCTCGTGAATTATTATCCATGTTTTTTTATCGATCAAGTTCTGCTCCTTCGGAAAGCTGAATTATTGATCCATGTACTATGAGTTGCTTAAAGTAATCTGTATTCAAATGTGTCGAGAACTTATGAATTTGCTAAAAATTTCTCTGTATTATCCTCTACGACTATGAAGTTTTTCGATGTGTATGAAAATTAATATTATCAAGAAATAATCAATGCTAACTTCCACGGGCCTTCTGAAATCGAAAGAGCAAAAATGTTTCTCGAATTACATGCCTTACGCCTGAAAGTTTCGTGTTTTAACATCTTCAATGTTGGTTGACTGTACGATTACTTCCATCGCAATGGATTTTCATTTTTCATCTTCATTTTGCTAAATCGCCAACATTTTGCTCGTATCGTCGAATATCCTTTTTACAGAGCAGAGGAGCTTGACACAGCATTAATGGAGATGGTTAAACAGGATAATCGGCTTCAATTGAGTGCAAGGGTAAGAAACTCCATGTGGTTCTTTTTTTTCTCTCTTTTTTTTTTTTTTTCCCGGGAAAGTATATATTGTTGTTTGTCGCCGCAGATTGAGGTCTTCGAGAGAGAAATCTTCGAGCTTAAACAAGCGCTCATCGACAAGGAGGAGCAAGAGAAGGCCATGCTTCAGGTAATTACCAAACTATAAAACTTCCAACGTCCATTAACGCTTCATTGCTCGTTGTTTTCATCATATACGATTTCTTTTGCCTTTTACAGCTGTTAAAGAAGGTCCAAAACGAAAAGAAAGTGACTGAGGATGCTTGCAGATTCGCCGAGCAAGACGCTGCTGCTCAACGATACGCTGTTCAAATTCTTCAGGTTCGCGCGAATTCTTTTCAAAATTGCCATCAACGATACATTAAGACTGTAAATTCAAATTTCTGTTCGTTTTTTTTTTTTTTTTTTTTTTTTTTTACAATTTCGCAGGATAAATACGAAGAAGCAGCTGCTGCAGTGGCGGAGATGGAGAGGAGAGCAGTCATGGCGGAATCGATGCTCGAGGCCACAATGCAAACTCAGTTCGAAAATTACCATCGACCGCCACCGTCTGCACCGTACTTTATAGCCTCTTCCCTGTTATATATATATATATGTATGTATATTTATCAGTCCTTCCTCAATGTTCATTGCATTTCCAGATCATCTAAAGCCATTTCTGTAAGTACGATCGGGTCGCTTTTTAGATGGCGCGCGAGGAACAAACAGGTTCTGAGTTTTTTTTTTTTTTTTTTCCTTTAATTTGCCTTCTTGAATCGATCGATTTTCTGATGCTATGATTTCGTCGATTGATCATCCGGCAGGAGAGGACAATGAGCGCCGCGGAGAATGAGGCGACGGAAAAGGGCGGCGACATCGACAGCGACGACAGGATGAACGGTCATGATCAAGTGTAAGAAAAATGAAGACATACCAGTAAGTATATGCTTGTTGCTTCATTCTTCAATTCCTTTTGAGATTGTAAAGTGAAGTCTTCTTCTTCTTCCTTATTTTTCATCTTCAAAAGTTATATATTGTTATTATTTTTTTTTTTTTGTGATGATTTAATAATACACATACATTTATCAGTTATCACCCTTGTTGTTGCTTTTATATTTCAATTTACGCTTTTTTATTGTTTTTAAATAGTTATTAAAATTATTGAGTGAAATAATGTTTTATTATATTTTAGATATTTTATAAAATGAGAATATGTTTTTTATTCAAATAATTGATAAATAACTTTCTTCTACATCCTTCTTCATGGTAAATTAGTATGGCTCCCAAAACAACCTGCCCAATTGATACATAAGAGCAATGATTGTTTAAAAAATAAAACTCCAGATATATGTCAATACATGCAAAATATAATGTCTCAATTATTTTCAAATTGAAACCATCAAAATTCTTAAAATGAGTTACAATACCTTGCAAACTAGGTAAACTATGTCTAACAGGTGACTTGAGGCGCTCACGGTCCTGTATAATATCAATATTGTTGGACTAAGGGAGAATATATATTTATACAAAAATATAATATAAAAATAATAGTTTATATTGAATTATTATTGTTTTTATGTATATATTATTTCTTCCATCATCTAATTGTGTACTCAACGGGTACAAATTTTAAAGAAAATAGATAAAAGAAAAACTTTTATTTTTTTGATAAAAAAAAATAGAAAAATAATAATTTTTTTAATACAAAAGATGATAATAAATTTAGATTAAAAAAAAAAAAAAAAAACATAAATGTAGATGACATAGTAGTATATTTTTTATAATTATAATTGAAAAATACGAAAATAAAAAGTGTTGGGAAACGCATCCAAAACAAGCACACCTTTTCCCATTTCATTTCTTTACATTCGTTTTTCCCATGTCATGGCATCTCAAATTCTAAAACCCTAATTTAGTTAACCTCATAATCGGAGAAGAATCGGCGTTGAATTTCATATCCCATGGCGATTCCACCGCCGTCAAACCTATTAGACGAAGCTCTCGACGGCAAGGGCGCCGGCGATTTCGCCGCGTCGCCGTTGTCCGGCGGCAGGATGGTGCTGGTGGAGGATTGTGTCGAAACTGGCGGAGCATTCGTGCTCCATCACTTACTGAAGCGATGCCTCTCCCCTCACTCCTCTGACGCCGTCGTATTCCTCTCCTTCGCCCATCCATTCTCTCACTACGATCGCATCCTTCGAAAAATGGTACTGTTTTCTCCCATTTTAAAATTTTTTTATGTTTGTCAATCGAACTTCGTTCAAATGTGCCGAAGCTAATGAATGTTCTATCGTTTGGTAGGGTTGCAATCTGAGCTCCCAAAGGGATAACAAGAGATTGCTGTTCTTTGACATGCTCATGGCGGATCGTCTCGGTGAGTATCTCATACAACTCTCAGTTTTTGGTTTAGTTAATTATTTAGGCATCATTTAGTATATTATTTGGAATTAATTGCGAAAATTTTAAAGATACATGAAAATTTTGCTTCATCTTTGAATGATACTCCAGAATTTACATCGACTTTCTGTGTTTGATCAAATTTCTTATTCTAAGTGCACTGATTATTTTGGAGGATTTAATATGGATGAATTCAATATTACTCTGGTCTTTATAAATTGTAATTATTGATAATCAACAATTTAATCTTACCCAATTCAAATCACATGCGTGCCCCTAGAATGATCTGCATTGAATCATGCATTTGGGTTTTGATTTTATGAATCAGCATTTTAATAAGAGAACATCCGTCGCATTTGATTAGGTAGAAATCGAGGAAAATCAGTTGAGGACATATTTGTCGCACTGTATGGAGATGTTCACAGAGCTGTCGAACTTTTTCTATCCCACGAGGAAGGCAGGCGGCATGTCACATTAATTGTTGATGATGTCTCTCTGATGGAAATCGATGCAAAGGGATCTTCAAACCTAGTCTTGGATTTTCTGCATTATTGCCACAGCTTAACTTCTCAATTCGTAAGTAGTCTAGGATTTCATTGTCGTACACTAGACACCTTTAAGACTGTTAAAATTTCATGGTTTATGTGTTTTTGGACAGGCTTGCTCCTTTGTTGCCCTTAACCATGATGATGTGTACTCAACTGCTGATCGGTCAACCCTTCTTTTGCAAATGGAATACTTGGCGGAGGTGGTGATAAAAGTGGAGCCTTTAGCTACCGGTCTGGCAAAGGATGTTCATGGGCAGGTATTATGGTTTAAATCTCATTTTTTTACAAAAATGGAATAGAATAAAATAATTTGCACAAAAATTGACAAATTTATTTTGGTTCTATGATTGATATTTGATATTTGCAGAATTTGATATCTGTGGTACAATTTTAAGTCGGTTGCAATAATAGACTATTTCAGTTAGTAACTTTAGTTTTATGACTTACTGCGGTTGTTATGTTGATAAATGACCTTTTTGTTTATGTCAATTTTCACAACAAATATAATGAGACTGAACTGATTCAGAGTGTAGTATATTATTATTGTAAACATTTTTTTTGTGAAACTAAAATTGAAAATGAACTTTTTTTTTTCTGTGACGAAATATGCAATTTTGCCTGCATGGTTTGATTTATCAAATCGAAGGTAATAGTTTCCATTTTTATAATGATAAATTTCTTTGCATTTGTTAAGAACATTTCTCTTGCTACTTATACAATTCCTTAAGTTCATGTGATTAGAATTAGTTTCTAAAATAGTTTGAGCAACAACACACACTTTACACGTATGTATTTACAAGGGATCTCAAAATTCAAATAATTTAATCACTTAAGGCTTTCGGGTGTGTTTTGAACTAAATTTATATCTGTCAATCCAAGAAATGAAATCTTGGAAAAACATTTCTAACATTCCATCTTTTTCAATATTTGTCACAACAATCTGCTTGTGAATAATTGCATTTGTCTGTCCTATTTGGTACCTTCTTTTGCTCACTTTCGATAATTTGGATATCCACATAGTGCTTTTTGTGTTCTTCATTGATAGTTGACTGTAACAAATAAAGGGCTCGAAGATATCTCAGGGAAGCTGAGAAACAAGGTTCATATTTTCCAGTTCAGGATTAAGGATAGCAGCGTCGAATATTTTTATCCTGGAAGCAAGACTTGAAAGCAATTCGGGACGAATAAAAGAAATATTGTCGAATGACCTTCGCAAAGCGATTCCTACAGTAAGTGTATTCCTTCTTTCCTTTAATCAGCATTAAGCTATCTGCACATTTCTTCGGTATTTAGGATATAACGATTTTGGTAGTGTTGAATTTCAAACTGTAATTGTTTCTAAATTATAATTCATCTTCTAAAATATTTTAATGAGAAAAAAACCACTAAACAAAATAATCATTATTATGTACTTTTTATTTTTCAGAGTAGTACTCCCTCCGCCGTTTTGTCTTTTATTGTAGAAAAAGTATAAAATGTAATATTATTTTTTACTAAAAAGAAAATTGATAATATATTCTAATTACAGTTCAAAATGGAAAGTGGAAAGTGAGTATAAATTTGAATGACGGAGGAAGTATAATTTATCTTTCACCAATTGATATATGGCAAAGGGTATCGAATCAAGAGTCGATTTTTTATTTTTATTATTATTTTCTTAAATGTATTTTGGCGTATTAGTCATGAAATGATTTGGAATTCATTCTAGGGTGTTAAGTGCAGGCTTCTTTAGGTATTTAACCCTAATGGGCTTAAGAGTTTGGGCCCAATTGTTATTAACCCTAAACCTAGTCTATAAATACCCCCTAAAAATATAGCCACCTCATATTACAGTAATAAGAAAAGCGTCTTGGTTGCCCCCGTGGACGTAGGTTGATAACCTTTATCTGCCGAACAGACCCCAATCAGAGCAGGACAGCAGGACACGTCAGATGTCAGATCCGCTAGCCATAAGTTGTCAGACCCGTCAGTCCCGTCAGTGCGTCAGATCCTAGAGGAGCGTCGCCCAGTCTACTCGGCAGCCCTAATCGCCGACAGCACGTTGGAGATCCGATCCGACGCATCCCGCAAATTGCAGAACTTGTATTTGCATGATTAAATCATGTCTGAGGACGGAAAAACCAAAATTGATAAGTTCGACGGAAAAAATTTCGGTTGGTGGAAGGTGCAAGTCGAGGATTTGCTTTGCCAGAAGGATTTGGATTTGCCTTTGACAGGAAGACAACATGAGAAGATGAGCGATGATGAATGGACAATCCTTAACAAGAAAGCCCTGTCAGTTATCAGATCTACGCTAGCAAAAAACGTTGGACTCACCATTCTGAAGGAGACTACCACATATGGGTTGATGAGGACATTGACAAACATGTACGAGAAGCCATCTGCTTCCAACAAGGTATTTTTGATAAAACAATTGGTGAATACAAGAATGAAAGAAGTCACAACCGTTAGTAGTTCAGCAGGAAATTCTAAACTCACTTTTGACGGCATTCGTGACTTGATCATTGGAGAGGATATACGAAGGCGAAACTCGGGTGAAACTTCAAGCGCCCTGTTGAGCACGGAAAGAAGAGGCAGAAAAAAAGAAAAAAGGAATGGCAGAGGATGATCAAATTCTAGAAAGATGGGTCAGTGCTGGAATTGCAAAGAGTATGGGCACTGTAGAAATCAATGCTCAAAACTGTCAGAGTATGGGCACTGTAGAAATCAGTGCTCAAAACTGTCAGAGCAAAATGAGGTGAATGCCATTACAGACAGCTCAGACGATGCACTCATTTGCTGTGTTGAGAATTCAACTGAGTCGTGGATTATGGATTCTGGTGCATCACTTCATGCTACTTTTAGCACGAAGACGATGAAGAATCTACGGACATGTAACTTTGGTAAAGTTCGTTTGGCAAATATCGACTCTCTTGACATCACAGGGATACAGGGATGGGTGACATAGATCTAAAGACTCTTTTCGACACGATCTGGACGTTGAAGGACGTTAGGGTAATCCCTAATCTTAAGAAAATGCTCATCTCCATTGGGCAGCTAGATGATCAGAGATATAACGTCACGTTTGGAGAAGGGCAATGGAGAGTCGTCAAAGGCAATCTCGTAATTGCCAGAGGCAAGAAGAGAGGTACTCTATACATGGCCGATGTTTCTGAAAATGAAGCGAATGCAGCAACTAGCAAGCAAAGTCCGTTTGTTTTATGGCACCAACGACTTGGCCACATGAGCATAAAAGGAATGAAAATGTTTGTCGCAAGAGGAAAGCTTCCAGATCTAAAGAGGGTGGATTTCGAGTTTTGTGAGCCCTGTGTGCTTGGCAAGAAAAAGAAAGTTTCTTTTGCAAAGACGGGGCAAACACTGAAAGCTATGTAGTTGGAATTGCTTCACTCTGATGTCTATGGACCAATACCAGTCTCTTCCTTTGGCGGATCAAACTACTATGTATCGTTCATTGATGATTCAACATGAAAGGCATGGGTCTATTTTCTTAAAAACAAGTCTGAAGTTTTCAATACTTTTAAGAAATGGAAGACTGATGTTGAATTAGAAACTAACCTGAAGGTGAAGTGCTTGAAATCGGATAATGGAGGTGAATATATCAGCACAAAGTTCACCGAGTATTGTGCTGAACTCGGGATTCGGATGATCAAGACTGTCCCAGGCACTCCTCAGCAAAACGGAGTGGCAGATAGGATGAATAGAACACTAAATGAGAGGGCCAGAAGCATGAGATTGAATGCTGGACTTCCAAAGGCGTTTTGGGCCGATGCAGTTAACACTCCTGCCTATCTTATCAACCGAGGACCATCAGTGCCATTGGGTTTCAAGATACCCGAAGAAGAGTGGAAAGGGGAAACAGTTTAGTATGAACACTTGAGAGTGTTTGAATGCAGTGCCTGTGCCTAGGATCTGACAAGAGACGGTGACAAGTTAGATGCCAAAGCCAGAAAATACACCTTCATCGGATACAGAGGAGACAAGATGGGCTATCGGCTATGGGACTTTGAAAGTAAAAAAGTTGTTAGAAGCAACCATGCCACATTCAATGAGGCTGAACTTTTCAAAGACAAAAGCACAAAAAGTCCGAAAGTTGCGAAATTACAGGTTAAGTTCGACAGTGATGTTATCGGAACTAGAGAGTCAGTGGGTTCTCAAGACCGTGGGAGTCACAAGTTTGAAGGCAATCAAGGGGACTTTGTCGACAGTGAAAGTTTGGAGGAGGAAGGACCTCTCTGTTCACCAGTGCAGCCGCAGCCAACCGAGTCCCAATGCGTTAGGAGATCCACTAGAGTTACCAAACCTCCAGCGAGATATGATCCTAGTGTAAACTATCTCCTTCTGATTGAAAATGGTGAACCAGAAAGTTATCATGAAGCAGTTAAGCAGAATGATTCGATTCAGTGGGAGCATGCCATGAAAGAAGAGATGAGTTATTTGCACAAAAACAAGACATGGATTTTGACTAGACTTCAGAAAAGTGTGGCGCTTTCGACAACAGAAGCTGAGTATATGGCAGTTGCTGAGGGCAGCAAAGAGTTAGTTTGGCTAAAAAACTTTCTCCTGGAGTTGGATAAAAGGCAGGCGGATTATTCAATACTCTGACAATGAGAGTGTAGTAAAACTTATCAAGAACCTTGTCTATCATGGAAAAACGAAGCATATTGGGATGCGATATCACTTTATCAACGGATTGATAAGTGAAGGGATGATGAAGTTGAAAAACATCTCAGGTGCTATGAATCCAGCAGATACGTTCACAAGATTGTGACGCTGGACAAGCTGAAGTTATGCATGACTTTAGCTGTTCTTAATGAAAAATGATGAGAAGACCGGAGCAATCTAGTGAAGCGGAGGATTTTACAGAAGTCCAATGGAGCACAGATGTTTCGAAGCCTTCAAGTGGGAGATTGTTAAGTCTAGGCTTCTTTAGGTATTTAACCTTAATGGGCTTAAGAGTTTGGGTCCAATTGTTATTAACCATAAACTTAGTTTATAAATACCCCTCTTGTACTTGTAATAATATAGCCGCCTCATATTACAGTAATAAGAAAAGCTTCTTGGTTGCCCCCGTGGACGTAGGTCGATAACCTTTATTGGCCGAATTACGTAATCCTTTGTGTTCTACTTTCTTGTTGTGTGCGTGTGAGAGTTAATCCTAACATAGGGGACTGTAATTTGTACTGCATTCCATTATTGAATGATTTTGGAGGCCGGTTCAGAGCACGGGATTATTTTGATTATTTTATTTTTTGAAAAGATCAGAGACAATTACAAAATACTGGGAAACTTTTATAGGAAATCTGGACTTAATTCTTCTTTTATGTAGTCTTAGGAGTTTTGTCTTGAACACTATTTTAAGTACTATATTATGAAATAATTTGTTAATTGCATTTTGAATGTATTTTAGTGTTTTAGGAATAGTAAAAACTTGAATGGAAGATAGATTTTTGGATAAAATAGGCATCAGCTGTTAACATTTTGAATAGAGAATAATATCTTTCGATGTAATATATTAAATAAAAAATAAATATTGGATGTGATGTTTCTTTTAGGACTTTTAAATCGTGCAAGAACGCAATTGAAAATGAACCCTTTGTGTGAGTTTGTATTATGGAGTGTCTATGGTATTTTACTACATATATATATATATATATGTCGAATGCTATATGCAGATGAACCATTTTTTGTGTATCTTTACACAGCTCGACTGACGATGTATTTCTGGATCCAATGTTACAGACATCAGAGATTTTGGCACCATCCTTGTCTTTTTCACTCAAATATCTTTTGTCTGTGAGGTTAGTTCGATTTTTGGCATGTTTCTTACAGAAAGTGGTTTGATCCCTAGTGCGAGTGTGTGTGTGTGTGTGAAAGTAAAAAAAAAAATAGTGGTTCCTTTCTTACTGCAGTTTTAGATAATTTTGTCACTTTCATTGTTACCCTCGCTCATCACACATTTGTAAATTCTTTTATATATATATATATATATATGCATATGGAGGCGGTTATAGCGCTGATGGTATAAAATGTTCGCACCTTGTTGATAAAAACTTTATCTTTTTGTGTGTTTAAATTTCTTTTATTTATTTGATGTTCAAACTCTTTTTTTATTTTGCTAACTTAAAATTTGTTGATATTTTAAAAACTCTTATGTTCTTCCTTTCTTTCTATGGGTTTTTTCTTTTCTTTTTTTTTTTAGTGACGGTGCTATGTTTTTTTTTTTTTTTTTGTTTAATAACATGGAAATTCGCAATCACTACCCGGAAGTACACATTGAGTAAATCTCTGAATCTAATATCCCGCAAATTATTCCGATAAGACAAGTCATACTAGACGAATCATGACTTTACGGTTATAAATTTCCTTACTGGACTTGTATTTTTTTTAAAAAAAAAAAAATATATATAGTGGTTAATTAAGAAAAGTAAATTGTTATCTTGAAGATTAAACTGTTACTTTTGTGATGTTTAAATTGTTCTTAACTTTATACAGTATTGAACTTAAAACCTTATTTGAAGATTTAAAATGTGCTATAATTCTATTAAGCATGGTATTGAATATAGCTAATTAACTATATATTTTATTTTCTCATGAACACTCAAAATATTCAATATAAAATACTAGATGTTATTTTTAGATCTTATTCGTGCGATTGAGATTTTAAAAAAAAATGCTATATCCTCCTATTACAAAAAAGGGGAACTTAGGTATTAATTGATTTTTCAATCAAAAGTACTATGTGAATTTTTTTATTTTATTAATATTATTTATTATATTTTACATTAAAAAATACTTCAAACCAAGATATTGAAAAAACTTAAAAATCAAACTCATTTGCACACATAAATGAACCGAACAATATAATAGGTTCATTATGTTAATGAACAAATTCGAATATTATTTGCAAATTTTCGTTAAAAAATTAATATATAAATTTATTAATTAAAAAAATAAATGAAATATATATATGAATTAAAAATAAAATAAAATAATATATAAAATTATTAATTAAAAAACTAAATAAAATATTATTTTCATCCGGCTTTAAGAAGTTTTTGCGTTAATTATTACATGAAAATATAGTATAAACTAAAAGAAAATAATAAAAATACTTCTATTAATGTTTTATAATAATAACATTTGTACAAAAATATATACAAATATAAATATAAAAAAAATTTAATGTTAAATACAATCAGCCGGAGGAAGTATTATATACTACTATATATGAATTAAAAATAAAATATTATACATATTCAAACTAGCTCAAACGAGCTTATTTGAGCATAAAAATTCGAACAATACAAACGGGTTCAAATATTTAACGAACGAACGGCTTCAATCGTTAGCGAACGTACATAAACACTTAAAAGTTACTGTTCGGTCTAGTTAATTAATGGCTCTTAGACTTATGATCAAAGCAGCAATCATGGCGTCATCCAATACGCATTCGGTGAAACTGAAACCGGCAAGGAAGAATCACAAGAGATCAACATTTCATAGAAAATACCAAATATAGTCAGTAACTCTATCTACATACATTCAAGATTTACGACACACAAAAAACTAACGATCGATTACCCAATCCTAAAAGGAAAACCATTGCTCCGCTCACCTTGACCAAAATTTATCTTCTGAGAAGCAGCTTGTGCATCATTGTATGGCTGCGGTTTGTCTTGCCCGGAGATCTGTTTACATAATTTATCAAGTCGAATCGACAAAACACATTATTGACATAGGAAAAAAAAGGGGTATGGAATAATCATATCAGATTCATCAGATGGACGTCAAGTTCTAAACAAAGTAACTAACCTAAATAGCATGACTTACGGCGAATTTTAGTGTCCTTTTGTAAAGTGTTACAAGTCCGGAAAAGAGCTTGACAGCATATTCGGCGATCTCTTCTGATTCATACTCTGCAAAAGCATATCCTCTAGGTTTATCCGTCTCCTTGTCTCGAGGCACATACAAGTCTACCACTTGCCCCGCTTGAATCAGAATGTCATACAACACTCTATCGCTGACTCTCTCATCCACATTTCCTGTAAAATGGATATTCGAACAAAAGTAAACAATTTACCATCGCGTGCAAAAAATTTCCCTCTATATATAAACAAGGGTGTGTTTGTTTGTGGGTTTTGATTTTTGGGTTTGGATTTTTTAATAGTAAAAAGTTGATTTTGAATAGGTGTTTGATTTGATATAAATAGTTATTGATTTGATATTTTTAGAGAAAAAAGAAAACCCGAATAATAAAAACCTATTGCAAAAACCACAAAAAACACAACCTAAATGTTTGAGCTCAAAGTTTCTAAAGTATGTCATTTATAGTGGATTAGAACACAAGCAACGACACAATTATGCCGAACAATCAAAGAAAGCAACGGCACAATTATGCCGAACAATCAAAGAAAGCAACGGCTTCACTTACGCTTTTAAACTTGTTCTTTACACTATTCGCCAAAAAGAGATCACGTTCAAAACATATCTTTCATTTAAAATAGGATAAATTTCAATATAGACACATGTGTTGTATGTCTTTAGCACAAAATTCCCTCTGTTTGGTTTATTGCATCTTTGACAGTTACAATATGAAAAAATCTACATAAAATTCTCATTCTGTCAATAATCGGTGGAACATTCAACCCACACGTTGTTTGTGTATTATAAAGGAGTACATCAAAATATTTCACAGAAAAATGTAAATACCCTCATAGATACGAAAAATTTGGTCAAAACAAACAATTTCAGGTTATTACAGTAAATAAAGAAAAACCAAAAATTCAATTTTACCATAAAAAATTGAATGGCTAACCATAAAAATTGAATTGTTCACAAGTGTCATACTTATGTTTTGTTTTATGATGTTTCATTTTTTATTATTACAATGTAAAACTATTTGTTTCGAACAAATTATTCTCACCTACGAATATATTTACATCTTTTCTATCAAATTTTCGGTTGTATTTCTTTATAATACACCCGGAAACAACAAGTGGGTTGATTAATATAATACTAAACATAAACGTAAGGGATGGCGTGGTGGTGTAGGGGTTTGACCCCATGACCTGATCCCGATGCATCAGGTCACCTGTCACACGTGGCTTTCCCAGGTTTCACATCATAAAAAAAAATACTAAACATAAACTAAAATTTTCTGAATACAAAAATTTAAGAAAGATATTATTAGTAAAGAACTGAAAATTTATTAATAAATTTATTTGTATTTTAATACGAATAATTCTATATTAAAATTAAAATAACTAATTAAAATTTTAAAAATTTGAAATGCTAAAATGTACAACGTATAAAACAAAATAATATAAGATGTATACCACAATTACATTGAGTATAAAATATAAGGTTTACTCATCCAATTTACAAATATAAAAGTTAATTTACACTACGATCGGATTCTCACACGAACTAAAAAGTTAATTTATAACCTAAATGAATTATGGTTCCGACAAATTTGGGAATGGCAATGGCAATTCAAGGATGAACTAACAATCAAAAGCGAAAGCTGAACGAAATACAATGGACGAAGGGGCGGAATACGTATACATACATACATACATACATACCGATATAAACTGTACAATTAGACTTCTCCACCACCATCGTTCGAAATTGAATCGCAATTCGGTTTTTTGGCTGATTCCTTCGAAGAACAGGTTTCTCAGCGGCGAATGCGATTCGACAGGCTTTTAACTTTCCTCTTCCCCCGCGCTCATTTGTTGGTTTCAAAATCGCGATTTTAAATTATGGTTTAATCGTCGAGTAAGAGGTAAATCGGAAGACGAAGAAGAAGAAAGGAAAAGAGCGACATGGAAGGAAGGAGAAGAAGAGAAGGTCCGAGAGAAAATAAGGTAGGAATGAAAAGGGGGGCAGCTGGGCCTGGGCCTGGGCAGGGTTAGCGCATTATATATAGTACAGTAATATTTTTATTTTCAGATATTTAATTTAATTGTTTATATGAGATTTGATTACTTTAAATTAGGATCTTCATTAGGTCCAATGATTAAGATTAATTGGAATGCAATTTTTATTTTATATCTTGTCAAAATCTGAAGAGTTGTTTGGAAATGTTTAAAGATTTTTAAAAATAGCCCAAAATCCTGCTAATGCTAATCAAGGCATCTTTAATGATAATATGTATGTATTCCTATTACTCTAAAATTTGCATTTTTTATTTTTATATTTTTCTACCTAACAAAAAAATAATAAATACTATATCTTTTTAGCAATTTCCATCCTAAAAAAGATTTTCATAACACCACAACTTATTTTATTTCTTTACTCTACTTCAATATTATTATTATTATTATTATTATTATTTTTGTCCAACTAAAATTATAGTATAATTTTCAGGGAAGAAGTAATAATAATAATAATTATTGCCTAAAATAACTATATATATATATATTAATAATCTCCTTTTAAGACAAAATAACACTGTATAAACATGTAAAGTATTATACTACCTCCTCTGTTCACTGCCAATTTTTTTGTAAAAATATCGTTACATTAGTGTTACAAGACACCAATAGAATTATTTTTGTCATTTTTCCTGAATTTGTACCGTATTTTGATATAATAATTAATATTAAAAGATTAACATGCAAAAAGTAAATGGATAGATTCGCAGTGGACGGAGATAGTATAAAATTTGTTAAATTATTTTTCAAAAATCCAATTTTCTTTCGAAGAATATCACATTCAATGCTCGTTTTTATTTAAAAACAACAACTATTTTACAGCAAAGACATCAAATTAGAAACCATGAAAGAGAACACACAACTAAATAGACCCTTTATGAAATTTGATTGCATAATTTATTATTATTATTATTATTATTATTATTATATGTAAGTAAATAAAACACACACAAAAACCCATTTCTACCACTGTCTTAGCTAAGTCAAAAATGAATAATGTCATAAATATTACTCAACTACTTCACGCATTTATGCAAACAAAAATCATATACAGAATCTACTTTGTCTAAAATAAACACCAAATAATAAGGCCAAAATGCACAAAATTCAACTCTAGTTTTACAAAATTGACGTGCTTTCAAAATTGCGTCAAATTCCCTCGTTAATTTCATAAACTCTGCTTCTAACCCTCTTTATTTGAGGGTGTTTGACTTATACGTGCTCAAACTACGAATGAACTTTAAAATACTTATTTCTAAAACTCCTAAAATTATAAATATATTCATTTATTTTATTTTTAACCTTAAATAAAGACGGTCGAGACAATTAAACGTAGAGTTTATGAAATCACAAGATAGTTAGTTTTGAAAGTATAGGTATTTCGTGCAATTTCGTAAACTACATGTGAGTTTTTTGCAATTTAGCCGGATAATAATAATAATAATAATAATAAAAAAAACCCTGCATGCTCTGCTAAAACAATGACCATAGCTGTGTAAATACACTTCCAAAACCCTACACAGAAACAACCATTTCTGCAACACTTTTCCAGCGGAAAAGAAGTCAAAGAAGAAATCAGGCGAAAAGAAAAGAAAGCTAGCTAGCTTACTCAAGGAATTATAACTACTAAATGGCAAATACACAAAGCAACCACACAGTCAATCTCACATAATATAAATCCTATCGATGAAAGAAAAGCATCATGCTGCTGTTGTTGGATCAGTAAAAATTAAAGTGACCGGTAAGAATGTATTACAATTACATGTTCTCTCTCCGTCTACTTAGCTGGAGTCCTCCGGCAGCCCATCCCCACCATGCCTGAAATAAAATCGACATGCCAATGGTCAAGATCATTACACTGAATCTAGGATGGGTACGGAAAACTAATACATCAGACATCGATCTAAGTATCACATCAAATTACTATTTAAACAAAAACTCAAATCTAACTCCTCATTTCAAATCAATTTCAAACAACAACTAAACAAACCCCAATTGTTTCGAAGGACAACACACACACACACATATATATATATATAAATAATTATGTGATGGGAGGAACTGATAATTCTCCTCCTGTAATGTTTGTTTGTTTTTTTTTTTTTTTCAATCTTGGGTGTATTTATCGTATCCTCCCAAGCCCAAAATATCTTCTAAGCAATATAATTTGTTTTTCAATTTTCGGAAAGAAAATTCCATTCTAGTGTAGCTATATACATATATATTCAAGATTTCAAAAACATTCTCCTATTGATCCTAAATATGTTACTTTATATACAGACAAATATATGAATATATACATAACAATCACATTATTCAACAAATTAAAATGCTATAGCATACGTAAATGTAATAGATAAATCCATAAAACTGTACACAGAAAAAAGAACAAACCGTACTCCGGAAAAGCTAGCTCTATAGATTGAATGGAAAAATTAAGCGAATTCATTACAAACGCAATATTTATCTCCTTTTCAGATTATATACTAACGACAAGTGGGAGACCAGACACTTGTGCCTAACATCCTGATAAAATAACCACAGAAGCAAATTCACAATCTCGTGGGATTCTAGAAAGATAATATTTGGATGTTTGGCGCTATTTCAATTTTTTCAAACACATCACATCAAATATATTTTTCTCTCACAAAATATCACATCAAACAATATTTTTTTACTGTTTCAAATCTTCCAAAATTCCAAAACTCCCAAAAGTCTATTGTCTAAACGAAGCAGAAGTTTTCATGACAGCAAATGCATCTCTTAACATGTTTGCATCGTGGATGATGTCAAGTAAATGCGAGGTCCAATAATTTGTATGGTTGACAGTATAGCAAATTGAAACAGTTGCTCCCCTTAGTTAAAGTAGCCGAATATATCAAAAGATAATATGTGTGTGTGTGTGTATATATATAGAGAGAGATAAAAGTAGTATCAAAACTCATAAACAAACCTCCAGGAAGTGGTTAGGTTACGAGCTTTCCTATCCAACTGCAAATTTTCCAATGCAGCTGTAGCACGGACCACATCTTCTGGAAGTTCATCATTGTCATATCTCCAATTGTATTCCTCTTTCCTATAGCCAGAGGCAGAGGATCCAGCTCGACGATCTGAACATTCAACAATAAAAGAAATACAGAATAGCCCTTTTTTTAAAACTATATTTTTGTCGTAAACAGCTTGAGAGTTATTTCACCACTTACCAGATGAGATCGGAACAGGCCTGCAGTAAGCATAACATAAACTACGAGTTAAAAACTGAATTTCAGAAGTTCAAAAAAATAATAATAGAACACAACTAAAGAAATGTACCTTCCTAATGGAGGCAAGCCTCCAGCTACAGATGGTGGTGCCCTCCTCGTGTTTCGAGCATCCAAGTTAGACAAAGATTCAGCATCGGCAGTAGTGAATCGCCTATTACTGCCCCTTCCTTGAGAAAGATTCTGCAAGAACATGATATTGAAGATTTCAACATAACTGATTATTTTGCAAATGATAGAACTGAAAACTAAAATAAAAGACAGTGATGATAAGATAACATCGAATAATTGAGCATCTGGTGGAGACACATCACATCATCTCATCAAGTTATGTATTGTTTAAGGGATGAGATCAATATTTTTAATGCACCCAATACCATTCAAATATCTTTTAAGCATTATTGAATCATAATTTAGAATATAATATCAAAAATCACGATAAAATAATCTCACAGATAATATTCATATCTCATTTACAAACTAAACATGTCTTCCGTGTTACAGAAGACACACACTTTAGGGGAACGAGTGGAACTAAAAACAGATAGTTTATCTATAAACACCAGAGTATATATTTAATGCCGAAAATTCTTAAAACATAATAAAGAAGTTCATGATGTTCATATTTTCAAGTTAACTTTCACACACGCAACGGTACAAACTACAAAATCTAACATTCAAATAAAATTTTGTCTCACCTCATATTTCAAGAACCCCTCAAGAACATCCAGGAGCAAAGGACCACTGTCTCCATTCCGATTAAGATCATACCCATTCTTGTTGCTAAATTCTTTCAACTCAGATTTCCAGGAATCCTTAGGCTGAATTAGTAAAAAAAAATAAAACCATAAAGAAAACATATAGTGAAATGTATATTACAAAAGAAAACCATGATTAAAGAGAGAGTCTAAGCAATACTAGAGCGAGTATCGGAAATACCAAATTACACTCTGGTAAGTAAACTTTCAATGTGTGATTCAGCTGAGCCCAATCCAGATATTCACACACCAATGCAGTCAGAAGTCTTCCTGAAAGCACAAAACTCGAGCAAAATAAATTAGCTTAATAAAATTCACCAAGCTTAAAATTCTTTGAAGCTCCCGAATGCACTCAATTAAGTAGCAACATCTAAGGGTTTGTTTCGTTGTAATTTCAAAATCAAATCACCACTATTCACCCTGCAGAGTTCCCAATAAAAAAAATCCTATTTTCTTTTAAAATATCACATTAAAACACTATTTAACAAAAACTCAAATCTAACACCCCAGTTCAAATCAATTTCAAACCACAACCAAAACAACTATGCAGTTTAAAGAACAAAATTTACACACAAAGAATTTGGACATATAAACTCTATTCTTATTTGGCCTGCATTGTATTCTATCATCAGCAATTGAGGGATTTTCTTCCAGATTTCGAAGCCAGAAAACATATTTCATTATTATTTGTTAATTATCTGAAATGGCATAAAAAGCTAATGAAAAAGAATGGAAGAAACATAACAAAGGAAGCAAGAATCAAATCAACAATATGCATTAGGATTTGCATATAAACAAAGCAAACAACAAAGCCAAAATGAAAATTACCCGAAGGAGAGTTGTGAAGCTGCTTCGCACGATCGTTGCAGCAACCCAAAAGCGCAGGAGGCAGTCCTTCATCTTTCTCAATCACTCTATCCTCCTCTTCTATTGCTTCGAACACACTAGCCCTCAGTTCAGCCTATTAACCACGAAAATTAGAACATTCATAATCTTCAATGATGCATTTTTCCACATTAACTTTAGCAAAAATTAGAATATGCATAATTTTTCAAACACTCTAGCCCTCATTCAGCATATTAACCACAAAAATTAGAACATTCATAATCTTCAACGAAGCATTTTTTCACATTAACTTTTGCAAACATTACAATATGCATAATTTTTTAAACACTCTAGCCCTCATTCAGCCTATTAACCACAAAATTAGAACATTCAAAATCTTCAATGAAGCATTTTCCACATAATAACTTTTGCAAAAATTAGAATATGCATATTTTCTAACACACTAACCATCTGTGCAGCCTATTAACCAGAAAATTAAAGCATCCACAATCTTCAATGATGCATTTTTTCACACCTAACTTTTGCAAAAATTAGAATATGCATAATTTTTTTTGACATTCAAGCTGCTGTTTTAATCCTTCAACAATTGGCATATTTTCTGCAACATCTATACGCAGAAATTAATAAATAAAAAACAAAGATAAATAAATAAGCCGTATTGGAGCATTTGAGTGTGAATTCCTTCATTCGAATTTCCAATCAGAGAGATCCTAAAACAAATATCTAAGAAACAAATCATGTAAACAAAATTTACAACATTAAGATCATAGCGGAAACAATTCTCTGTCAAATTCCCAATTAATTCTACCAATTCATCAAATAATTCTCTCGAAACTACCCGATCTCCTAGGGTTTTATCAGCGACAATTCAAAATCCCAAAATTCCATAGACAATGGTGAACGCGCACGAACCGACAGAATCTCACTAAGTTTATTATACGAACAGAAATCATGGCGAAAATCAAAAAAGGAAGCCGAAATTAAATGTAACTAACACGGATCTTGGCAAGCACGCCTTTCTTCTCGAGAGTGCGAGTGACTAGGGTTTTCAAATCCATCATTTCTCTGGTGTAATCGTCCATCTTCGCCTGCAATTACAGCCCTTCCCACCCCAATTCAAAGGCCCTCGTTAAACAAGAACGAATTTAGCTGCTGGATTTCCTTCCAGGTTCAAAATTCGAGCTTGAACTGAGAGAAGCATCAATTGAAATTGAATGCGTAGCAATTGAGTGCGTCCCCAGTGATGGAGTTGTTAGAACCAGAGTAGCCAATTCCATTCCGAACCGCCGGTTCGCCGGTTTCGAACCGACAGTTACGGTTCGAACTGAAACCGGACACAAACCGAAACCGAACTGTAAACCGCCTGTTCAAATCACCGGTTTAGGTTCGACCATTAATTATATATACTATATTTTTTTTTGGAATTTAAATCTGGCTCACCGGTCAGGACTAGCCGTTGCCGGAGCCGAGAAGCAGCGTGTGGCTGAAAGACGAAGAAGAAGGAAAAGGAAGAAAAAACCTGTGCAGCGGTTGTGGATCTGTGTTGTGTGTAATGAAAATTAATTAAAATAATTATAAATATTAATATTATTAATTTAATTATAATTAAAATTACTGCTCTTTCAGCTAAATTATGAAAATAATAAAATTAATAAATAATTAAAAAATATTAGTAAAAATTATTATAATATAATAAAAATAATTATAAATTAAAATTAAAATATAATTTAAATATATAATTATATTTCAAAATAGAAAAAACAAATATAAATTATGTGAGACAGAAAAAAATGAAAAGAACGAACGAATATAAAATTAAATGAAATGAGACGAGGGAGTATATTTTTTTAAAATAAAAATAATATTAAAAAATAATTATTAAGATATAAAAAATAATAATATACTACTATTTTATATATTTATATTTTAATTTTTATATATTTTTATTATAATACAATTTTAAATTATTATTTTTATATATTCATATTTAATCAATTTTAATCATAATTTTTAATTAATAAATTAATAAATGATTATTTTATAGATTTTAAGAATTATTTATATATTTTTTATAATTATATAAAGATTTATTAAAATAACATTAGAATCAAAATTAATAATATAAATTAAAATAAAAATACTGGTAAAAAATGTAAAATAAATTAATATAACTCACATATTTAATATTAAATATAATATTTTAGCAAATCACAATCGTCGATCGAATTCAATTTGATATTACGACAAACCGTAATAGTTTTCGGCAAGACTAGTAGGATGGAAAAGGTTCTGTATGATGTTCCCTACAGTGACTTCCTCTCCGGTTCGACGAGTTAGAATGAAAGTCGTGTTTGTTGTGGAAAAGTAAATAAATACGACTCTGGTAGGAATTGTATGAAACTGCGTGTAGTAGCACAGGAGAGGATCTGTAGATGAAAATTACGATTAAGGCCCTTCTTTACTTCTCTTTTCTTGAAATTCCATTCCAAAATTGGTTTATTTTTTAGATATTTTATGCTTTATTAATTGCTCTCATGTTCTTTTCTATTTTCGCTTTATTTTTCTATTTTTATAAATAACTTTGACTTTCACAATTTTTTAAAAAAGTTTTAAACCAAAAAATAAATAACATTACATTTAGATATAGATTTTGAGAATTTTGAAAAAATTTGTCAATTAATAAAAAATTGGATATTCAATATGATATTTTATGAAAAATATATATATATAATGTGATATTCCATTTTTCTATTTAAGCATTACTGGTATGTTTGATTTTCGAGAAAAGTTTATTAAATGCGTTCTTCTGCTAAGTATGAAAAATTATATAAAAAATATAAATATATTAAATATATTAATATTTTTAAAAATATAATTTTTTTTTTTAACAAACAAACTATCATTTTCGCAAATCCAATATCTATGTGTATATATATATCCCATACATCCTATATTATCTTTTAAATATAAATAATTAACCCTTTAATAAATATACATAATATTTTTATTTCATTACATCACTCAAATAAAAAAATAAAAAAATATTTATCTCTCATATCACATTATCTAATTCCTCATAATTCTATCAACTTAAATTATCATACCAAAAAACAAATGTATTACCTTATGTGATAAGGAGGGAATAATATTTTTACTTTTACATTTATTTATAATTATATCAATTTGATGTGTTTACTTGTACAGCTTTGATTTTAATTCTACTATTTTAACAATTTTTTATCTTAAAAAATATCAAATCAAACACCTAATTTTTATTTATTATATTATATTAAAATTTAATTTTATATTCAAAACATCACATCAATATATTTATATTACATAAACAATTATTTCAATTCAAAATTTTACTATCAAACTCAAAATCAAAATCTCACAGATAAACGGAAATTTTTTTTAGTAAGAACATGTATTTATACAACTGCATATAGGGTAGGTAAAATATTCGATCGAGCCGAACCGTCAAACTGCTGAATCGAATCGAATCTTCGGTTGACCCAACAAATTAAATTTGAATACAAATATTGCATATTTAATATTTGTTCGGTTCTTTTCAATTTCAATTTTTAACAATTTTCTTCGATTCGGATAATCGAACCGAATATATTTATATTATATTCCCTCCGACCAGCTAGAAAGTATACCTATTTCTATTTTGGGACATCCAATTACAAAGTAAACATTTCATTAAATACCTTATTTTTTTCCACAAATATCCTTATAGGCTGCTTGTTTCAATGATTTGATAGAATTTCATGGGATTTGGATTTTAAAATCCTATGAAATCTATGTTTGGTTAAGAAAAAGACAATGGAATTTAAAATAATGGGATTTAAAAACAGAATCCAAAATCCTACAAACGAGGGATTTATTAGTAACAGGGTACCCCTGTTACTTTTAAATCTCATTCCATGGAATTTTTAATTTTACTTTTATATCCTTATATAAAAATATTATATATTATAAATATGTTTATATAAAATTAAACTAAATAATTTTAAAATTAAGTTTTATTTGAATTATATATTAAATTAAATTAATATTATTTTTTATGGTACAATATTTTTTAAATAAATTAATAAACTCATTGTTTTAAATTGTTATTTATTATAAATTTTATTTAAATTATAAAATTATCAGGATGACAATAAGTCGAATTCAACCGAAATTGAGATCCGTCCCGAATATATATTGTTAGACTTGAGACCCAAATTGGATTTGATTATACCAGATTCGGCCGAAACTATACCTGATAAAACCCGATGATCTAAAAAATTCAATTATTTTTTCGATTCTTAAATTTTAATTTAAAATTACACATGTACCGACCCAATATATATTATTTATGTATATTATGAAAAAAATATTATAATAAAATAATAAATTAATTAAACTTAAAAAAATATTTTTAATATAATTATATTGTTAAAAATTATTTTTTCATATATATAGTCAATATATTATTAATATTATAAATCGAGTCCGGATGCGAGTATGGTCCGCTTAGACCCTAGACCCGATTCGGACATGATTAGAATACCCATAATATGACCTGGATTCAGACCTAATACTCAAATAATTGGACTCAACTTCAAATAAATAGGTCGGGTTCGAGTCGGGTCTCGAGTTTACGATAACCTATTGTAATCCCTATAAAATTATTGATACATTTTCAGTTTATATTTATTATAAATTAGATGTTTAATTTATCAAAATAAATAAAATCCATAGGGGGACAATTATGTCACTTAGAATATAAAAAATCCAAATCCTTCCACTCATATAAAAATAAACAAGACGTGAGAAATATAAATCCAACGTAATTTTACCAACCAAACATATGATAGGATTCCAAATCCTAAATATAATAAATCACATCACATATAAATCCTACTGTGAAATTTCAATCCCACAAAAAAAATCCATGAACCAAACAACCCCTTGCTTTACATCACATCATTACTTGTGTAAAAGTAAGGGCAAAAATGTCATTACACTACTTTTAACTACTCACTATAATTAAAATACTATTATTTCTTAAATACATCGCTAAAAATAAATGCATACATTGTAAATGGACGGATGGAGTAATAGTATTTGAAAATTCATATTAATAATTGTTCGGTTCGGTTTGTTTCAAAATATTTGCAAATATTTTGATTTAATTGAATTTCAATTATATTTTAGTATTTTTTAAATTCAATTCTGTTCGAACTATTTACAAATACTACAAATGTTTCCGTTTAATTGAAAACTCAATTAACCGAAAATTTCGGTTCAAATACAGTTTATGGTTTCAAATATTTGTTCAATTTTGTTCAAATATCAAATATCTACACATTTATAAATATTCAAATTGTGCCCACCCCTGACTACATATTTTGACAGATCCATTGTGTTACATATTTTTCTTTTAAAACATCAAATCAAACATCTATTTTTTATTTATTATATCGTACTAAAATTTAATTTTATTGTAAAAATATCATATCAATATATATTTATATCACATCAAAAAAATATTTCAATTAAAAATATTATTATTCAAAACCAAAACAAAAAACTAAAATCCAAGTCACACATGCTCCTTTCATTCTAATTCAAAATATCATTGTTGATGTAATTTTTCAACAAAAATAAAGTAAAATTCAAAGATATAGAAAATATCCTTAAACTTGATTAATTAGTGCCTGAGATTAGGAATCTCTAAACACTGTATGGTACAGAAAATAAACTGGAAAATAAAAGACTGAAATTTAAAGTGGTGATCCCCAAATCTGACTTTGCTTTGTTGAAGTTGATTGAAGATACCTTGCCAAATGATTATCCAAGCTTTTAAATATTCTCTGGAAACCGTACCGAAAACCGTCACCCGAACGGTTACAACGTCTCTTTCCCAACCGTCTTCCAACCCTTCTCATGCTGACACGCGTCCCCAGCAGACCAAAATTATCCCTATATTTCACTCTTTGAGCCGACCACAGACCTTCCGCTCTTTTGGCCCGACTGCCAATCCTCCCGACTTGCGAACCTTCCGACTTGAGGTCTTTCCGTCTTGAGAACACCTCCCGACCTGAAAACCTTCCGACTTGAGGTCTTTCCGCCTTGAGGACTTCCCGACCTGAAAACCTTCCGACTTGAGGTCCTTCCGTCTTGAGGACCTCCCGACCTGAAAACCTTCCGACTTGAGGTCTTTCCGCCTTGAGGACTTCCCGACCTGAAAACCTTCCGACTTGAGGTCCTTCCGTCTTGAGGACCTCCCGACCTGAAAACCTTCCGACTTGAGGTCTTTCCGCCTTGAGGACTTCCCGACCTGAAAACCTTCCGACTTGAGGTCTTTCCGCCTTGAGGACTTCCCGACCTGAAAACCTTCCGACTTGAGGTCTTTCCGTCTTGAGGACCTACCGACCTGAGGTCCTTCCGTCCTGATGACTTTCCGTCTTGAGGACCTCCCGACCTGAAGACCTTCCGACCTGAGGTCCTTCCGTCTTGAGGACCTACCGACCTGAGGTCCTTCCGTCCTAATGACTTTCCGTCTTGAGGACCTACCGACCTGAAGACCTTCCGACCTGAGGACTTTCCTTAGTAATAAACCTATTTTCCTTGATTTCCTCATGGTGTCCTTCAACCAGTTCAAATCAACCCTATTGTCAGGCCCATTCTTCTTTTTTACCTTGGGCTTTTAACCTAATTCTAAATTTCGTACGTAACAATCATTTTTACTATTTTCGTTCATCCCACTCAAAAACATCCATTTTCTTATTTTTAATAAAATTAGTCATACACTAATACCATAATACCCTAACTTTTATCTAAATTATAAATATACCATTACACATGCATTTACTTCATACAAAAGTCAAATGACAAAAATATTAAAATCTCTTACAAAATGTTAAGTTGATCAAATCCCCAACATCTATTTTTGGCATAGTGACAAAACTCCTTTCTACTGTTGTGGTCGTTGGTTTCCAAAAACAACAACAAACATAGCAGATCAACAACAGCAACACGCATGCAAAATCAACTCCCCCTTTCTCCGGTGGTGCAGGATTCCCCCCTCTCTTTTACATCTCTCCCCCTTACGTGGACAGATGCCAAAAGAGGCTGGGAAGCTTAGAGAAAGTCAGGGATCTCCTCCTCGTCAGGCAAATCTGGGGTGAAGGTGGAGAACACGAATTATCTTTTTCCGGTGTTCTCCTAAGGTTGAACGAATTGAGACTTGTTCCTGCAGTACTTCTAGGAGCAACCTTCGGGCTTCCGGAAGCTGTCCCGAAGGATCAGCTGGAAGAGGCTCTTTGAAGTTGTTGAAGAGTTTTTGTAAATTCAAGCGGGGCTTGAAGAAGGTGGTTTGAATTGTGTCTTCCGAGGGTTCCGGCAAAATGTCATTTTCTTCCAACAAAAGGGTGATAAAGGCAGGGTACGGGAGGTTGGTCTTGTCAAACGATTTTCCACGAACATATTTCACCATCCTTGAGATAACAACAAAACCAAAGTTGATGTCAGCACAGACTTTATCAATGCAAAGGAGTAATTTACCCATTTCGTAGCCAATGTTCGTCCCGTTACTTGTGGGGAGAACATTCATCGTGCAGAAGCGAAATAGGCATTGATACTTCATAGTAAGTTCTGTGGCAGCCAAGCTCGTTCGACCGAAATAATATGATTTTCATGCAAACAGCCTTAATACAACCTCTCGTTTTGATTCTCTAATCAGGGCGGAAGGAAATTTTTCTGGATTGTCATTCGGGAGCTTCAGTAAATTGTTGATCACCTGGGGGCTAAGCTCAATCACCTTTCCTCGAACAAAGGCTCTATGGAACCAATGGCTTTCCTCATCCAAAACATCCTGAGAGAGATTGGCGTAGAACTCTCTGACTAACTTTGGACAATATCGTTTGAATGATACTGCCCAATGATGCAGACCTTTCATCCTTAGGAATGCAAAAAAGCCAACGTCTTTGTGAATCGGATCAGTAAAACGAGCCTCTGGAACCAGCTTTCGATTGGCCAACACATCATATTCAAACAATTCGGCAGCATTGTCAAAATGGGTTGCATCCATTGCTTCTTTAGCCATGATTGGTGGGGGTGTGACCTTACGCTTGCAAGATTTTGATTTCCTTGACTTGTGTTTCTTCTTTGAAGTCACTTGCTTGCTTCTTTTTCTTGAGGGACCAGAAGAACCAGCAGAAGCCTTCCTTTTTTTACTCTTTCTTTCGGCATGTCGTTTTTTCAGTTGGGCAAGTGGAGCATTGTCTGAATCATTAAACTTTGTTCCCGTTTCATGTGATACCGGCGTGACAGCAACATTTTCACGTTCCATTCTTTCAGAGAAGAGTTTATCAACTGTTCTGTCAATTATCGTATTGAGACTTTCATCGGAGGGAGAATGAGGATGGTCAGCAGTGGCACCTTCATGTGCAATCGCAAGTTCCTCAAGGTGAATGGGAGGATCAGCTGCTTCGGTCCTCTGTTCTTCAGATTCCGGGGCTTTTTTAGAATGCACCAAGGCCTCTTCATCAACATTAGCAATAGATGCAACCTATTTTGACGATGCTGCCGAATTGTTTGAATATGATGTGTTGGCCAATCAGAAGCTGGTTCCAGAGGCTCGTTTTACTTATTCGATTCACAAAGACATTGGTTTTCTTGCATTCCTAAGGATGAAAGGTCTGCGCCATTGGGCAGTATCACTCAAACTATATTGTCCAAAGTTAGTCAGAGAGTTCTAAGCCAATATCTCTCGGGATGTTTTGGATGAGGAAAGCCCTTGGTTCCATAGAGCCTTTGTTCGAGGAAAGGTGATTGAGCTTAGCCCCCAGGTGATCAACAATTTACTGAAGCTCCCGAATGACAATCCAGAAGAATTCCCTTTCGCCCTGATTAGAGAATCAAAACGAGAGGTTGCACTACGGTTGTCTGCATGGAAATCAGATGATTTCGGTCGAACGGGCTTGGCTGCCACAGAACTTACCATGAAGTATCAATGCATATTTCGCTTCTGCGCGATGAATGTTCTCCCCACAAGTAACGGGACGAACATTGGCTACAAAATGGGTAAATTACTCCTTTGCATTGATAAAATATGTGCTGACATCAACTTTGGTTTTGTTGTTATCTTAAGGATGGTGAAGTATGCTCGTGGAAAATCGTTTGACAAGACCAACCTCTCGTACCCTGCCCTCATAACCCTTTTGTTGAAAAAAAATGGCATTCTGCCGGAACCCTCGGAAGACACAATTCAAACCACCTTCTTCAAGCCCCACTTGAATTTACAGAAACTCTTCAATAACTTAAAAGAGCCTCTTCCAGCTGATCATTCGGGACATCTTCTGGAAGCCCGAAGGTTGCTCTTAGAAGTACTGCAGGAACAAGTCTCAATTCGTTCAACCTTAGAAGAACATCGGAAAAAGATAATTCATGCTCTCCACCTTCACCCCAGATTTTCCTGACGAGGAGGAGATCCCTGACTTTCTCTAAGCTTCCTAGCCTCTTTTGGCATTTGTCCACGCAAGGGGAAGAGATGCAAGAGAGAGGGGGGAATGTTGCACCACCGAAGAAAAGGGGAGTTGATTCTGCATGCCTGTTGTTGTTGTTGATCTGCTATGTCTGTTGTTGTTTTTGGCTCTCTGTTTGTTGGAACCTTGGTTGTCTTAAATTTCTGTTTTGGATAGGCTGCATGTAGCCTTATTTGGATTGATGTCATGTAACCTAACCTTAACTTGCTTTTAATTATGGATTAATTTGCTAGTGTGGGAGATTATCTCCTGCATTGTGTGTGTGGTCACATATGCCAAAAAGGGGGAGATTGTTAACTTGATCAAATCCCCAACATCTATTTTTGGCATAGTGACAAAATTCCTTTATGTTGTTGTGGTTGTTGGTTTCCAAAAACAGCAACACTGGACTCAGTTGGTGGAGTCCAATCAAGCAGCCCTTTTGTCCCTTCCAGTTTGGTCTTTGAATTTGTCCTTTTGTGTTCAAAATTGATTAGATACAACACCATACCTTATTTGAATAAAAGGGAATTTATTGCATATCAAATCATGGCTGCTATGGTCGCTAAAACACAGCTCGAGATTGTGACAAAGGGAGGGAGAGAGAGTGATTTTAAAAGATTGTGTAGTAAGAGAATTATTGTGTCTATCCTCTCAACCACTTCCCTTCCCATTTCCATGCACTAAGTGAGTGATATACACTATATTCCTGCCGGAGAAGTTATGTGGTCGAAGGAAGATTGGAGTTCCGATCATGAGAACATTCGAACTCTGAGCAGCTCAGCTATGTGGTAGTTATTAGTACGCGTTTGTAACAACTTATGTCTGTGAAGAGAATTTTCAGGGTAATTAGCTTGTAGTTTAGGTTGAAGAAGGTTTGGGTGTTTTGTTCTTAATCAACACTGATTAATGGACCTCTCCTGAATTGGTATCCCTCGGATGTAGGATGGTTTATATTCGAACCGGGTAAACAAATAACTTGTCATTTATTACTTTGAAATCCTTTCATTTATTTCATTGACAAATCAGCGTTATAACTGTGATATAACTAAGCTTCGGGAGTTGGCCCATTTGATAAGTGTACGAGGATTAGTTGGTGTTGCACTTATTCTCATCCCAACACAAACTTATTTTTTAATTTATTACAAAACTCCAAATGACCAATTTCAAAAGGGACGGTGAAAGTATGTTACTAAAACACTCCTACTTTCAATTCAAAAAAATAGCAAAAAAATCCCTGTGATTTTCCGAATTTGCTGAAAACCCTCTGTGGTTATATAATTCCAAAGAACCTTCTTGTGGTTTCCAAAATGTTGCAAAAAATCTCTCATCCGTTAAGATTTAATGGTGGTTGTATGGGACGCACCTGCTATGCGATTTTTTGTCCATAAACGGATATATTTCTATATAAAATTACTAAAATACCCTAATAACTATTTTTACAGCTTCTTTTTTATTCTTCTTGTTTGTTCTTCTTCCTTGTTCTTCTCTATACTTTTAAAATTTAATTTCAATTCATTTTTTTTCTTTCATTTTAAATCCGCTAAACATAACCAAATTTGAACACAAATTAATTGTTCATTTCTTCTTATGTTATTTCTTCTTATGTTTTATCAAACCTAGAAATCTAATGGATCAATTTGACATCCAAATTTGAAATTAATTTAAGAAGAAGTGAAAGAATTTGGTGTTGTTGGTTGTAGAAGAAGAATTGAGGAAGAAAGAAAATTGGGATGGAAAAATAAAGAAGAAAAAAAATTGGGAAAAAAGAGAAAGAAAAAAGAAAATTGGAGGAAAAAAAAGACCTGATCCAGCCGGCTTTTTTTTTTTTTTTTTTCTTCCCTTTCTCTTTCTCTTCTTTCTTCTCTTTCTCTTCCCGCTTCCGCCCATCGTCTTTTTTCTCTTATTATTTTTCAATTCTTCATTCTTCAAAGAAGAATTGGAGATAAAGAAGAAGGAAAAAAAAATTGGAGAAAAAGAAGAAAACAAAGAACAGGGTAAGGCTGCGGGTGTGAACAAGAATTCGGGAAGAAGAAAAAAATTGAGAAAAACTTGTGTGAAGAAGAATTTGGGGAAGAAGAATCTGTTGGGGGAGAAGAGAAGAAGAAAGAAGATAAATAAATAAATTAAAATATATATAAATAGGAGTATAACGGTTAAATGTGATAAAATTTAACGTCCGTTAGTCAAATTTAGATATGGGGGAGAGTGTACAATATTTTGGAAACCACAGGTAGATTTTTTAGAATTTTATAATCACGGGAGTTTTCAGAAAATTCGAAAAACCAACCTCAAGGAAATTTTTTGCTATTTTGCCTACTATAAAAGGAAACTACATCAAAAAAATTAAAATTAAACACTTTTCTAATAAATTCCTCACCCGAGATTCATTCCCTTCGTTGATTTTCAAGCATTCATTTCACTGCCAGAGGGGAAGAACAATCAATTAGATGATTCGATTCCTGCAAAGAATGAACAAATATTCCATTACAAGGATGGATCAATCTCCAGTAATTCAATAACTAAGCTCCATTTTTACGTAGTTTTGGAAACTTTTCGAAAAAAATTAGATGAATAATATCAAAAGTTCCAAAAATATTTACGTAAACATAGCTTAGAATGCCCCAAACCAACAAATTATTCCATACTTATAGCATTGTCTCCGCACCAGCACCAGCACCATCCTCACGTCTGAGTATAAACTCGATTGCATCCTCCACAGTGTCGACGACCTGTGTACAACATGGAACAATACCATTGTTAAACAAATCGAGTAGCTTGTGAGTCAAGTTCGACTACGAGCTCGAGCTCAAACTCGTGTAACTCGATTAAGCTTGTCAGTGATAATATATTTATATTCTTTTATACATTAATATAATATATAGATATAATTGTTTTATATCAAAATTTACATTTATTAATAAAATTTTAATATTTTATTATAATAAATTATGAATAAGATTATATATTTAATTGATATATTATAAAATATATATAAAATTCGAGCCGAACTTGAACTCAAGCTCGAGTTTGACTTTTACGAGCCGAACTCGAGCTTGAATTTGAGCTTTAACGAGTCGAGCTCGAACCACTATTTTAGTTCGAATTCTTAACAAGTCGAGCCGAGTTTGTATTGTTAACAAGTTCATGTCAAGCTCAAATAATAGATACTCGAGTTTACTTGGTTCGTTTAACAACTCTAAGCACAAATGCAGATTTTGTAGTAAAACTAGTTTGACTCGCAAAAAAAAAAGGTTAGTGCCGGATATGTGTTCTTACCACATTGGCTGGATACTCTTTATGGTTATCTCTTTGCCTAAAAACGCCTGTCCTCGTCAAAATCGAGAACCATGGATGACCTGCCTGCGCATAAAAGGATAAAAATTGAAAAAAAAAAGAAAAATATGAGCCATCCGAATATTGGATATTGTTGCAGCAGATTTATTAATCGGGAGAGGACCTGATGTGCTCCTTTGACATCGACAAATGGGTTGTCGCCGATCATATAAAGGGTTCTGAAAGAAGGCCCGTTGACAAGTGTATTCTTGCGATCGATAGACTGTAGAAGATGCTGTAATATAGTTTCAGCATTTTTAAAAACAAATGGATTCGGCTTCCCGAATGAGGTGTACTCCAATGGCTTGTCATGAATTCTGTAAAGATAATTATTTGGAAAAAAAAACCAACTTAAGTTCCACATTGAAAAAAATAAAAAGAAACACAACATTTGGTTATAAGTCCGCATCTAATTCCACATAATACGAAGTATTAAGGGAAAGTCCAAAAATAAATCTATATTAGTTTAGTCCAAAACGAACAAATATCATACAATAAAACATAGCCAAAATTCATAAGAGCTGAGGAAAAGCTAATAAGAATGGGAATTGCTTATCCCCGAACACAAATTATTCATTATAAATGATCATCATGTTATATGTGCATCCCAATTATGAAGATTAACTCCAAAATAATAAGTACGTGAGAATCCATGGAGGTACCTATTGAAGACACTCTCAAGGGCAATTCTGAATGCGCCCATGCCAAGACGCTCCGAAGGAAATGCAGCCTACAATTAGTTGTCAGCTGTCGAAGAAATTAAATATAAAGTGAAATCACATTATGAGCTTGGGTTTTCCGATTTTGTTCGGTCCATTGTCATCGACCTAACAACTCACTCTTAAACGAGGTAATTATCCGAAACTCATAATCATCTTTCAAGGGTGAATGCCATAGCCAACCCAAAAAAGCAATTTTTATCAAGATTGCATCCAATTTGAATTTGTATCATCATAAAATATTTGCTAATCCCAATATTGCTCGATCAAGGGTAAAATAAAGAAGCTAAATGCCTGTACTAGTACTAAAACATAGAAACGTCTATGGCTACTAGTCATATTCTAGTTAGTTCGCCTAGTCAATTTTTATTTTTTATTTTTTATTTTTTTTAAGAGGCATAAAGATTTAAGGATGGTGAGACAATCCAACCTGGTATTGTAAATCATCCGCTGCAAAAAACAGAGGTGGTTGATCCCCAAGTTTCTTTCCAGGAACGCCTCCAGATGTTAAAATATCGCATAAAACCTAAATTTTATCAGAAATGAGAATTACACGGTTAGAAAATATTACAACAAAACAAGCATGATAATGTTATCATTGACAAACAAACTATAGCTTTATGTGTAAATATAGATCACTCAATGCAAAAGGAAATAATGAAGATATAAAATGTTTAAAAATACCCATGTAAAATTGTTTTAGTAAAAACCCCCCATTTTGTGAAAATGCTTGTGGATTTGTTTTTGAGAGTGATATTATCAAACTTCCATGTTTAATAAATTGTAATTTATCAATAGCTACATTACCTAAGATGTATCAAAAAGTAGAAAAACATCGAATTTCAGTTTCAGAAACATGCAGGCTCCTGGTGCTTATATACATATATATATAGCGAAGATACCTGTATATCCCTCCCCCAGTCAACAGGATCACTAACAACAAATGCAGCTTTAACGCTTTGTGAGAAATCACCGCAACTCGAGACTGTCTTAGAATTTCTGGAGAAGTTCGAATCCTGCACGGTTGTCCACCTCTTGTACTGAGCTACAGGATCAATGTTCTTGAAGTGTGACACATACTCATCTATTGAGACAACTCTCCTGCAGGTGGTATTGAGTTAAGAACTCACAAAGAAGAGGTAGAGAGACATCGAGAGAGAGAAAGGGAGTTTCAGAAAATGGAGCTTACTTAAAACCATATTCAGACATCACAACAGCAGGCTCACCTTTTCCAGTTGCAACGATGAACTCATTTTCAAACCTACTCATAAAATGAATGATTAATATATAGGGGAAAGCATCAATTTAAATTCAGTGTTTTGGTAAAGATGAATTCGCTGTAAATTTGAGTTTTAGAAAACTGGTCAAAATTGAATATGAAATATAATATACCAAATTGCTTTACAAAATTCTCATATGGTAATAGCTCCTTCATATAACCCTTAAACAAATTTCAAGGAAATCTGAGTTCATGTAATATAAAAATAACCAATGTACTGATTTTGAATTGGGGTTTGGTTTTGTGTTTTGGTTCGACTCGTGGTTTGGACATGATGATGTTTTGTAGGAAAAAAATAGTGTATTTTTATAGGAATCATGAGGGCAAACTCCAAGTAAACAGAGTAAAATGTTCTAAGTTATGAAAGTTCATTGCTGCAATTGTCTTAGAGAAGGTAAGTGTTCTGAGTTCTGACTGCATCACTAGAGAAGTAAATCTTTGCTATATCATGGGAGAGGAATGTAAGGGTGCCAATATTGAACATGACAGCCTTTTTGGACTTACCTGAAAAATTCCAGGGTTGGGTTTTTAAAAATCAAGTAGATCTAAGCCTTAAACAAATATAATTCAGGCTTGATGAACTCTGATTTCGGATTGACTTGATAGTTTGAAATGCAGAAATCGGACCACTACATGACATGAAATCCTGATCCAACCCCTGACACAAATACCACACAAATTGACACCCCTAGTGGAAATGACCGGTATTGTCCGGAGGCTTTTTCAACTAGCTACTTGAAAAGCAACACATGAACATTTGCGGACAGGATAATAGCATAAAGCCGTAAGGAAACTAGCAGGATGCAGAGAAAATTTTTGTAAGTAACACTACCTATTCAATAAAGTTTTGAAGGGTGAATGACCATGCACCACCTGCATATCCAAAACATTCAGGTAAGTGATAGTTGTATACAGTTGACATCTTTCACAAATGAATCATGATTGTACCTGTGATGGTAAAATATTTACTCCAAGTAGATTGCTCAGGTCAGAGGCTCTTCTTGACTCTGGGATGCCTCCACCTGGGGCACATATGATGACATTAATTTCATCAGATTTTATAAAAAAAAATCTTGAGAAAATTGCTTACAACTCCATGATTTGAAAAGTCCGCATAATATGATCATACTCCTTCATGATTTTAAAACTACATGAGATTCCTTTGTGTTTTAGAAAACATTGCATGGAATTTCCTATAAATTGCATAAGGCTCTCTCGTATTTTCAAAAACATCACATAGAATTTCCAAAAAGAAAAAGCAAAGTTATGCAATATTTTCTAAAATACGAGAGTCTCATACAATTCCTAAATTATGAGGGAAAATGATACAAAATTTTCAAACAACAGCTCGGTTATAAGTAATTTTGCCAAAAATCTTTGCATAAGAACACAAATGCATATTATATAAAACTGTATCTTGCAGCACATGCCATTATTCTCTACTGCAAGTTTCTCATGTCCAAACTAGTGTGATTAGTGAAGTTACAAAAGGTTATGAATAGTGTGTATATTCAAACTAATGGTAGTAAAAATGGTTAAAAGGTTAAGCAACCATACTGAACTAATTTTTGTGCATAGACACAGTTGCATTCAGCTTCACCATGGTCCAAATCCGGAACATGAACCTCTAAGTGTTAAAAGAAGGGTATCCTAAATAAAATCAATCTTTAGGTTCAAGCCATGCTCATCCATCGAATGCGTGGAACTATTCACTAAGTTCAATTCCTATTGAACTAGCAAACTCCACTTATTCTGCATAATCATAAATCTAACCAAGAAATTCAGTTAAAATAAAAAATAAACAATCCCTACCATTCGTCAAAAACAAAAAGGGAACCTTCAAAGAACCTGTAAAAGAAAGGAGTCAAAAAATGAATATAGAAAGCATCACTGCTCAAAACAAGAGCAGCAGCCAAAACCATTTAGAATAACTTTGCTTTTACACATCCAATAAGAGGGCATGAGCATATTCTCCCTAGAAACAACAAGCATAATTAGATATTTTTGGTGAAATTGTTGAATTTATTCCGAATATATGACTATACAAACATCAACTCCCTAAGGGTATGGTTAGTTAAATACAATTATCAATCTTATGTAGTGAACTAAAAAGGATTGATTAAATTCATTGAAGTAGCACAACCTAAGAGAAAATTTCAACCTAATTTTCGAAGTTCCATCATCCAAGAAAAGTTTGCTTTAAACATTTTAGAGGGTTCCCAATTCCCAAATGAGGTTTTGAAACTTACCTATCTGGTCACACAATTTTTACATCTACTTTCTAGATAACTGCATACAACTTTCATAAAATGAACATTTCTTTTATACACAAACAATTTCATACATTCTCAACACTCCATATACAGAAACAATTTGAATTACTCACAATCAGTATACCCAAACATCAATCTTCACACAAGTTTCATACAACACTTACGAATTTCAACCAACTCACCTGCAACCATAATTTTCCCTTTCAAAAATCAAAATCACAAATCTGCAATAATGTCTATTTAGGAAATGAGAATACCAGAATCGTCATACAATCTTCTCAGTGCTCTCTCCGAATTCCCAATCGGAGCTGCACCACGAAGTATCACACCATCTATATCAAACGCGATTCCAAACGACGAGCTGCAAACGAACAAAAAAAAAATAAAACTAAAATCCCAATGTAAAAGCTTATTCGAGTATAAATGCATATAAATACGAAAAATCCTAATTGCCTGGACACCGAATGAATCCCCGCCGGCAGCGGCCGTCGCAGCAAAGCCAATGGCACCGGCGCTTTGAATCGGAACCTCATATTGTTTTTCTCATATTGTCAACGTTAACCGTTTTCACAAACATTTATGCTAAAAGCGCGTTTTCTATTCCGTCTGTAAAACACGATTTAGCTTCAGATGGAAACGCGAGTTAAGCTAACGCTCTGTTTCCCATCCATCTAAGACACGCCGTTCTTGCGACCTTTGTAAGAAGAAATTGACAATTGAGAAACCTTGTAATGAACCAGGAAAAATAAAAAATCACATTCAGAAAACTGATAATCGAAAAACAATATTATATACAGTAGCTAATTAGCTTAAGCTTCAGGTCAAATTCCTACAACAATTCCTCTCTCAGTCTCTCTTACACACACACAGAGTATATATTTTACAGTACAGTAAGCTAGCACTCAGACAATACATTCTCAAATTGTGCAAATCCAATTCTACGAGGAATGATTTACGGCGGAGGCGCCATTGGTGTGATTGTCGACGTCGTCCTTTTTGAAGGTCTGGCGGACATCGGTATATATCTGTCTGATAATTTTATTCTGACCTCGGCGAGGCTGAAGATCGGCGAAGCTGGTGGAGGAGTTCCCCGTTTTCTTCTTACCAGATTCCTTATCCATTTCAGTTAATGAATTCGACGAGGACGACGAGAATGTCATATATATATATATATGTGTGTGTGTGTGTTTGTGTCGGGAGGGTGTGTTTGAATCTTGACGAGTGGTTGTCGGGACTGATTGAGGATATTTATAGGGCTGCGGGATCTACACCACGTCGGATGACGTCACAGCGTGGCGTGGTGACGGCGTCATAGTTAGACTCTCTGGAGTTTGGAAGCTCCTGGAGCAATACACCACTATTGAGATAAAAAAAATGCGCAAAAGTATGTTTTTATTTATTGCGTGAAACTCTTGTGTTAATATAAAGTTTGCACGAAACACCCTCTTGTTCGAAACTGATGTTTGGTTATAAATAAATACTTAAATTACGCAAGTTTTAGAGAAATAAAATACATAAAATATGTTAAATAATTTTTTTAATAAAATAAATAAATAAATAATTGATCAATAATTTATTTTTATAAAATTTGTAAAATCAGATAACAATTTGTCTCCAAAAACTATAAAAAGAATGATTAATCAATTATTTATTTATTTATGTTATTCAAAAAATTATTTAGGGTGTTTTTGTTTGGGGGATTGGATTTTATATCCACTATTCATCCCATGTTCTTCCCCAAAAATATCAAATCAAACACCTATTTTTTATTTTTTATATTATACTAAAAATCAATTTGACATTCAAAACATCACATCAACACCTATTTATATCACATCATACAATTATTCAAATTCAAAATTTTGGCAAAATAGCAAAAAATTCCCCTGTGGTTTTACGAATTTGCTGAAAACCCTCCGTGGTTCTAAAATTCCAAAAAACCTATTTGTGCTTTCCAAAATGTTGCACACTCTCCCCCTCTTTAAATTTGACTAACAGACGTTAAATTTTATTTAATTTGACAGTTATACCATTACTTATATATTTTTTAATATATTTCTTTCTCTTCTTCTGTTATTTCTTCTTCGGGTCATTCTTCTTCTCTTCCCCCAACTTCTTTCTTTCATCTTCTTTTCTTCCTCAAATTCTTCTTCACACATCTTTTTCCTCAATTTTTTTTTCTTCTTCTCTAATTTTTTTTCACGTCATAGCAGTTCCACCCGGTTCTTTCTTTTCTTCTTTTTCCCCCAATTTTTTTTTTCTTCTTCTTCGAAGAATGAAGAATTGGAAAAGAATAGGTATAAAAAGAAGATGATAGGTAGAAGCGGCTGGAATAGGGAAGAAGGAAGGAAGAAAAGAAAGATAAGAAAGAAGAGAAGGAAAAGAAGAAGAGGAAGAAGAAGGTTTGGACACCAGTTTTTTTTTTTTTCCTCCAGTTTTTTTTTTCTATTTCTTTTTCCCCATTTTTCTTTCTTCTTTATTTTTTCTCTCCAATTCTTTCGTACGCCGTTGCAATCAGGTTTTTCTTTCTTCTTTCTCTATCTCTTTTTCCCCAATTTTCTTTCTTTTTTATTTTTTCTCCCTAATTCTTCCTTACGCCGTTTCTTTCTTTCTTTCTTCTTAAATTGATTTTAAATCTTGATGCCAAATTGATTTATTAAATTTTTTGGTTTGCTATTTCTGGGTTTTGTAAAACACAATACGAAATGTTTCTGGGTTTGGTAAAATAGAAGAAGATCCATGTCTGGTTGATTAATTGTCATAAATTTGGGATCGGTTTCGAATTTGGTTGTGTTTAGCGGATTTTAAATAATAAAAAATAAATTAAGAGTAAATTCTGAAAGTATGGATAACAATAAGAAAGAAAAAGAATAAGGAAGAAGAAGAACGAGGGAGAAGAAGAATAAGGAAGAATAAGTCATTATGGTATTTTAGTAATTTTACACATAAATATATCACTTTATGGACCAAAAATCGCATTTCAAATGTGTGATATACAACCGCCGTTAAATCCTAACGGGAGGGGGATTTTTTGCAACATTTTAAAAACCACAAGTAGGTTTTTTAGAGTTTTACGTTTTTTATTTGTATAAAATTTGCATAATTTAAGTATTTATCTAGAACCAAACATCAGTATTAGACAATGAGGGTGTTTCGTGTAAACTTACATAAATACAAGAGAATTTTACGCAATAAATAAAAAACATAGTGTTTTATACCGTTTTACTAAAATACAAGGAGGTATTATATAATTTACCCAAAAAAAAGAAAAAAGACAAAATTATGGGATTGTTTGTTTGGGGGATTTTCCCCCAAATTCAATGTTCATCCATTTTTTCTCTCAAAAAAATATTAAATTAAACATCTATTTTTTATTTTTTATGCTTCATCCGTCCCGATGCAAAGTTGTCGTTTACTTTTTGTACGTAGATTTTTTAATATTAGTGTTATAATGGATTGTAGTAAAAAAACAAAAATACCCCTATTAATATTGTGTAATATAATGTAATGACATTTTATGTAATATAGTGTAAGTTGAAAAGGTATTTATTATGTTAGGTAGGTAGTACAATTACTAAATTAAGAAATAATAATATTGTTTTGAGACAAACGAAAATGGAAAATAACAACTTTTCAATGGGACGGACGGAGTATTAAAAATTAATTTTACATTCAAAACATTACATCAACACCTATTTATATCACATCATATAACTATTCGAATTAAAAAAAATTTACTATTCAAATTTCAACTCAAATTCAAAACCTCACATACTTGTATATTTGTTTAGGATTTGAATTTGAGTGGACATTTGAATAGTAAATTTTTTAAATTTTAATAGTTGTATCATGATATAGATAAATATTGATGTGATATTTTAAATATTAAATTATTTTTTAGTATGATATCAAAATAAAAAATAAGTGTGTGTTTGTTTGTGGTTTTAGTTTTTTTGTTTGAATTTTTAAATAGTAAAAAATTTGAATTTGAATAGTTGTTTGATGTGATATAAATAAAAAAAGAGAATTTAAATAATTGTTTGATGTAATTTTTTTTAAATATTAAATTATTTTTTTGTATGATATCAAAATAAAAAATAAGTGTGTGTTTGTTTGTGGTTTTAGTTTTTTTGTTTGAATTTTTAAATAGTAAAAAATTAGAATTTGAATAGTTGTTTGATGTGATATAAATAAAAAAAAAAAAAAGAATTTAAATAATTGTTTGATTTAATCTTTTAAATGTAAAATAATTTTATATTATAATATAAAAACGAGAAAAGTAATTTTTGATTTGAATTTTTTTTTAAAAAAAATAAATAATAAAAATTGTGTGTTAAAAAACCCACCAAAAAAACACAACCTAAATATTTTATTGAGGACAACAAATTTGATGAATAATGTAGATTTGCCAAAATCTTGTAAAAGAACAAATTGTGATTTGAAAAGTTTGCTTCTTTTATTTATTTATTTTTTATGATTTAAAAGTTACATGAAATTTCATTATGTTTTAAAAGTATTGCATATTTTCTTTCTAAGGGATTCTGTGCATTATTTTCAAAAATAAAAAAAAATCTTTGACAAGTTTTAGGAGATTAAGGGCATCTCCAAGCCAGTGTCATTAATGGCACTGGGTTGAGTTGATTTGGCGTCAATTAAAATAATGATCTTACAATCATAAGTTCATTCTTCTACCACTGAGCATGCTTATAATACTAATTAAGAGTTGGTGTTTATTTATTAATTAAAATAATAATAAAAAAAAATCCAACAAATGAAAGGCTCAATTTATTTGTAAGATTTTATCAAAAGTTTTTATTCATATTTTAAAATATATATATTAAGTAAAATATATATTTTATATTATTTAAAATATTATATTTATATCACATTAATAACTATTTTAATTTTAAAAAAATTATTATTAAAAATAAAACAAATAAACCCAAAGTTACTATATGTTATCACCCAAATCAATTTTTTTTTCCTACACAATTTCTAATATATAATATATGTTTTTTAATTTTTATACTATTACAAACAAGCATAGACATTAAACAAATAAAATCGTTTGTAAACTTAGCTCGATTTAATTCGGTTTAAGTTCATTTGCGAATATAAACTAATCGAATTAAATAACATAAATAAACTCATTTTATTAACAAACAAGCATCAGCCTTGTTTGCAAATATTCATTAATAATTAAATATATGAAATTATTAATTTAAAATAAAAAAATTATATATATATAAGTAAAATAAGCCTAAATGAGTTTACACAAGCTGAAAACTAATAGGAGTTATATTTAACAATACAAGCGAATTCGAATGTTTAATGAATGAATACGAGTTTTGTTCCCAAATATTAAAAAATAAACACAAATATTTAATATTATTTTTGTCTCATAATAAATTATTCATTTTTCTATTTTGGTTTGTTTTATAATAAAGTATCTATTTTCTTTTTTTAATAATTGTATTATCTACCTAATACTACAAATACCCTTACAATTTACAATATATTACATAAATATCATTATCTTTATATCATATAATACTAATAAAGTTATTTTAGTCATTTTTATTTTATTTATACTACATATCAATATAATATTAATATACTTTAAGCTACATAAAAAAATAAATAGATACTTACTTACGAGACTCCGAGACGGGGGGAGTATTATGTCCAATTCAAATGTTAACAGCTCTACAATCACAATTATTTGTATATTTATATTTTTTATTTTTTTTTTGAAAAAATAAAATCAAATTAAAAAATTAAACAAATATTGTACAATGTAATCGTTCAGGATCTGGAGTCCCGATCTCGAAGTCCCAATGCAACAAAACTTTTGTTGAGAGGTGACCGCAATTGTCCCCAACCATAATTACTACCGTATTTTTTCTAACTTTTTTTTTAATATATATTTTTTAAAAATAATAATAATACAACACATATATTTATTATTTTTATTCTATATGCAATTTTTTATATTTTATATAAAAAAAAATTTATTTTTAACTATTTCACAAAATAAACACACCTTATGTCTCTCTTATATACTAAAAAAAAAAAAAACTCTATTGAATACTAAGAGAGTGTTTTGTAATTAACTTTTTTAAAAGATTTTAGTTTATTGGAGAGCTTTTAGTTGTTTGATCTGTAAATAAATTAACGTTTTTAATTAGTTTATTGGATCAAAAAAA